ACCTCTGGCCCCTTGCTGCCTGTGTCAGCCAAGTCATCTTAGCTCCAAGCATGGGCACCAAGTCCTGACTATTCTATTTCCTTAATAGCTCCAATCTGTGGCTCCTCCCTGTAGTCACTGTCCTCATTCAGCCTGTCATCATCATCATCATCATCATTGTCACAGACTTCTAACTGGCTTCCCCGGTCCCTATATCAAATTCCTACATCTTTCTTACTTTCCTTGTAAAACAAAGTAAGTGTCTAATCTTTTTTTCCCTCATTAATAGTGACTGACCCTCTACTCTATGTGAGTTTTTGCCATCATATAGGTATGCTTACTTGGGTTATATCAGCAAACAAAGCAGAGGTCTCAGGCTGAGAGTGTGGCTCCAGTGGTAGAGCACTGGCCTATTGAGCACAAGGCCCTGAGTTCAAACAAAACAAAACAAAACTCAGAAATCTCACTGTCATGGAGTTGCAGAATAGTCTAGAGTAAGGGAAAATGTCAACATTCAGTCGTCTGATATTTTCAAAGTTGACAAATGCTATGGAAAAAAAAGTCAAGTAAGAGGTTGTGCAAATCTTACACACATGCCCATGGTGTACAGTTTTCAATAGGGCAGCCAATATGGGCTCATTAGAGGTTGGCATATGACCAAGGGAGGTAGGAAGTAAGCTCTCCTGTAGGATGAACATTTTTGCAGAAAGAAAAGATACAGCCAGGTGGCTCACGCCTGTAATTCTAGCTACTCTGGAGGCTGAGGTCTGAGGATCTGGTTCAAAGCCAGCCCAGGCAAGAAAGTCCGTGAGACTCATCTCCAATAAACCACTCAGAAAACCAGAAGTGCCACTGTGGCTCAAGTGGTAGAGTGCTCGCCTTGAGCTAAAGAGCTGAGGGACAGCGCCCAGGCCCAGAGTTCAAGCCCCACAACTGGGGGAAAAAAGTGAGGGGAAATGAGAGAGAGAGAGACTGAGAGACAGAGAGAGGGAGGGAGGAGGGAAGGAAGGAAGGAAGGAAGGAAGGAAGGAAGGAAGGAAGGAAGGAAGGAAGGAAGGAAGGAAGGAGGGAAGGAAGAAAATAAGGAAGGAAGGAAGGAAGACAATAAGGGAGGAAGGAAGAAAGGAAGGAAGGAAATAAGGAAGGAAGAAGGAAGGAAATAAGGAAGGAAGGAGGGAAATAAGGAAGGAAGGAAATAAGGAAGGAAGGAAATGAAGGAAGGAAGGAAATGAAGGAAGGAAGGAAGGAAGGAAGGAAGGAAGTGAAGGAAGGAAGGAAGGGAGGAAGGAAGGAAGGAAGAGTCCAAGATATGCCCTCAGATGGAGCAAATTGGAGGGTTAACGACAGCAAGCTGGCTGGGGGCAGCACAAGTGCACTCTGAGAATGAGGACGTGAGATGAGAGCTTTAAGGAAGGTCAACTGACCCAGAGCTTGTGGTGAGGTCTCCATTGGAGAGTTTGGCCCCTGTATGACTTGCTCTAGCTTCTGAAAGATCACTCTATGGTGATGGTGAGCCAGACCAAGAGGTAGCAGAGGAGATAGTGATAGGTGGCTTGATGTCTCTCTCTCCCTCAGTGACTCTCTCTAGCTGGAAGATAAGTGGCATCCACAAATCATTCTAGAGTGAAAGCCCTGCTTAATTTCCCTGGTTCATTTTGGGATGGTACCTTATACTCCTGATGACTCCCATGCGCTAAAGCAGGCAAACTCCTAACAAGCATCCCCATCTCTCATGTCCAAAAGCATCTGCCTGGCAGTGGTTCCCCTGCTGGGCCTCCACAAGTATCTTCTCATTGGAGAAGTCTTTCTCTCTTCAGCACACATGCATCCTCAGAGATTTGTGCATGGTTATTGTCATAACCCTGAGCCAGTACATTCTGTCAAGAATCTGTCTCTCTCACCAAACTAGGAGCTTCGACAGGATAGGAATTAGAACTTTATTCATGAGTAACTGTTAAATTTTGGATGATGGGTACATGGATTGATGGATGAGTGAATGGATGAATGGATAGACGGATGATGATAAAGGAGATGGAAGGAGAATGCTGGAGGGAGGAAAGACAGATGAAGGATGGATGATGGATAGATACAAGGTAGGTGGTCTTATATACAAGGAATTTCACTTTCAGTTTGTAATTAGTTAAGCATTATAAAAAATGTCCAAAACGTAACCCGTTACAGAATAAATGGCTGGAGGACTACTTATAGAAACAGATGTACTGCATATGATGATTCTTTTTTTCATCAGTGGAAAAAGTAACTTTGTTGACATCTTATTTTTCCCTTGACCAAATATAATTTTAGGCAAGCTTTATTTTCTGACACGTTATTCAGTCAACAGTAGTTCACAGTATAATGTTAAGTTCATTTACACTATACTGGCCCTACCAACCTCTGTCACATCTATCCTTCAACCTTTAATGATTGATTTATGCTTGAGAAAGTGGTGAGGAATGTCCTTCAGAAAATAGTCTTTTTGCCTTGCATGAGTGTTCCTTGTTTATTTGTCTTATCTAATGTAGTCCATAGTTCATTCTAGTTTGATTTTGAAGACTGCCTTTCCTTTCTCCCTCCCTGCTTCCCTCCTTCCTTCCTTCCTTCCTTCCTTCTTTCCTTCCTTCCTTCTTTCCTTCTTTCCTTCCCTCCTTCCTTCTTTCCTCTCCCCTCTTTCTTTCTCTCTTTCTTTCTTGTGCTAATACTGGGGCTTGAACTCAGGGTCTGGACACTGTACTTTAGACTTTTCACTCAAGACTAGTGCTCTACCACTTGAGCCATTCCTCTACTTCTGGCTTTTTGATGGTTAATTGTGGATAAAAGTCTCACAGACTTTCCTGATCTGGCTAGCTTTGAACCACAACACTCAGGTCTCAGCTTCCTGAGTAGCTAGAATTCCAGGCATGACCCATTGGCACCTGACTATGGACTAACTTTTCTTATCTTCAGAAATGTTTTAACGTATTGGTTGGATGCATTACAATCAAAAGAGAATTCTTAATCCTTTTCTATGGTTTTATAAAGATACTAGGAGGCAGTTCCTACAAGCTGATTTCTTGGCACTTGTAATTTTCTGATGACTGAACCAGGAGAGATAAATGCTTGGCCAAAGGTCATTTCTTCCTCTAGACTTTTCTCCCCAAAAACATTCAAGCTATATGGGGGAGACGAAATAAACAAAAAATCACCACATATTCTCAGAGATATTTGGATTTGAGCATTGCTCTGAGCTCCGATTATGCATAATATAATGAAGTGGTTAAATGGTAGATTCAAAGAATTCTCAGTGAAAAGAGTCCTGGTAGACATCTTCTCTAACTTGGATTGAGCAGAAGTAGAACTCTCTCTTTCTTTAGTACCCTCTCTAGAATTCCCCGAGAAATGAATATTCCAAGTAGACTGGCCATTTCCAGGAAGAAAGACGATAAAGTTCAAAGCCAGACTATTATAGAATTAAGGAGATGGAGATGGTGATCAGAGTCAAAGATAACTGATTTGAAAAGAGCATTTATATTCCAAGAGGTAGAACTCCAGGGAACACTTTTAAATTTTAAATGACCACTTCTTTCTTTTTGGCTAGTGAGAAGAGGTTGCAGGAGCTTGTGTGGGAAATAAAACAGAAGTAAAGGACTTGATCAGGCAGAGAGGGGCCTGTTGGAAAAGTGTCTCAAAGATGTAAGAGAACCTGACAAATCTATTTGGATAGAACTTGACTCCCTCCACCTGCTCCTGTCATTCCTCTAGGATGTGAGAAAATCTAGCAAGGCTGGATCAAACAAAAGACAGTGGTGCATGAATGTCTCACTAGGAACTGAGAATCTTTATCCAGATGAGAGGTGAAATAGAAACAGACACCTTCCCCCCATACACACACTTGAGAAATGGGGGAGTTGGTGATATTGAGAGACTGAATCACCAAATTTCACATTTTTTCATGGAAAAGAACTTTTCTGAGTCCCTCTGTTGGTTTTTGCTTTATCTCGTTAGCCAGCTATAGGCTACCTGTTGGTATATTAGTCTTTTTTTCCATTGCTTTGTCAAAATTATTCAGTATGGGAATTTTAGAAAGCAAGAGGTTCCTTTAGCTCAGTTTTGAAAGCTAGAAGCCCAGACAGTATGGCACAGCCTCCTTCTCTGAGCTTCATCACTTTTTAATGATGTGGCAGAGTGTGTATGAGAGGGAGGAATTGTGTGACAAGACAGAGAGCCTGAGAAGGGGCCAGTCTTGCGCTTTTAGAACTAAGTGCAAGCCTCTATTCCTTCCCAACCTAGAGCCCCCAGTGATGGGAAGTAAGGACTCCCTGGCTAGGTAGTTAAGGATAGAAGATGGTGGCTAGGACTGGCTCTGACATGGAGAAGAGAAATGATTCAAGAAGAAATGCCCCTCTTGTTCCCAGGGAGCTCCAGCTGCCAAATGCTATGGCCTGAGTTGTGTTGCTCTAGCCTCCAGCCTATCAGGAGTCCTTTCTGCCCCTAAGTTCCGAGATAGGGGATCCAATCAAAAGGTGGTTTTCAATAATTCCAGAGTTTTTGGAGATGTGAGCTCACGTGCCTTCTCCTGCCTTTAGGTATAATGGTTCTGAGGAAGCTTCTGTTCTTTAGGAAAGCCCCTATCTTCTGCTACAAGGCTGCTCAGGCCCTGGCTAGGACATACTAAGAGTGGTACTGGGAGTTCTCATACAATCAGGATTTGTTGAGCCCTTGCTCCTTCCCAGGACTCATGAAGCTCTAAAAGAAGCACCTATGCCTTCAGGCTACAATATACACCTTGTGGGAAGGGAACAGCAGCTCCATGCTCCACTTTTATAGAGGGTGTTCAGATGGCATGGTATATTCAGCCAAGTCCCTATAGGGAGGGCTTGGTAAGGCTTTGGGGAATGGGAGAATTGGAAGTAAAAAGAGGAGGTCTTAGGGACATGCCAACTGGAAAGATGGTCCAAGGAAAGAAAATTGCTGCTTGGAAGAAGCAGCAGGCCAGAGCTCCAGCTGTTCTTACCATTGGAGGTCTTTATGTCTTTCCTCCTTAGAACTTGGAAGAAGATGCCCAAAGTCAACAACATGCCAACCATTACTATTCGCACCACTCTGACCTCTCCAAATGTAAACTACATCCGATGGAAAGTACATGGAGACTGGGTTACTCAGGTAAAACAAACCGAAATGGTAATTAAAAGTAAAGCAGGCTGCCCTTGCCACTCTCTGCAGGTGACTCACCCAAGCAATCGAATAAGTATGTAGTAAGTCATCACTGGCCTGGAGGTAAATCCATCAACCTCGCTCAAAACAAATATAAAATGAATTATTGCATGAAATGCAAAGCATCATAGTGAACAGTTTCTAGAAGCTGGTGAAGCTTCTAGAATGTGAGCTTCCTGCTGTGATTGCTCAAGTAGCCAGTCTCTTAGGATCCATGAATGGAGACTGAATCTACCATGGATTCCAAAAAACTAAAAGGATGTTTGTCAGATTCATGAGAAAGCAAGGGGCATCCTTAATGTTAAAAGAGCCTAGAAATCAAATGCAGAGAGGATGTGCCGCCCATAGACAGAACTCAGGACAAGGTGCAGAGCAGAACTCCTCAGGCTACACCAGTGGTCATGTCACATCTCCATGGAGGAGCACAGGCTCTTGACCTCCACTCTTCCTAAATACATCAGGCTTAATCCAAGTAGAGAACCGTCAAAACTAACAGCTTTCTGTAAAGAAAGAATGTTAAGATGGGGCTGGGAATGTGGCTCAGTGGTAGAGCGTTTGCCTTGCATGCCTGAGGCCCTGGGTTCGATTCCTCAGCACGACATAAGCAAAAAGAAAAAAGCTGGAAGTGGTGCTGTGGCTCAAATAGTAGAGTGCTAGCCTTGAGCTGAAGAGCTGAGGGACAGCGCCCAGGCCCAGAGTTCAGGCCCCATGACCGGACCAAAAAAAAAAAGAATGTTAAGAGCTATTATTGAGTGAGGGGGGAAAAATAGAAAACACAGCAAACTTATCTGATGAGTAAAAACAGAAAAATGTATGAGAAGAAAATTTGGACTAAGAAAATAGCATTAGCTCACACCTGTAATCCTAGGTTCCCAGAAGACTGAGATCAGAGGCTGAGTTCAAAAACAGCCCAGACAGACAAAGCTGGAAACCTATTATCTCCAATTAATCAGCAAAAAGCTGGAAGTAGAGATGAGGTTCAAGTGGTAGAGCACTATCCTCAAGGGAAAAAGCTAAAGAACAGTGCTGAGGTCCTGCAGTAAGCCCCAGTACTGGCACTAAAAATAAATAGAAAGAAAGAGAGAGAAAAAAGAAAATAGCATTTGTCTGAAAATAAAGACCAACCATGTTTCAAACACAAACTGAGGAAAGCAACTGCCAATCCCACAGTAGAACCGAAGAGTAATCAGGAAAGCACAAAGAGGTCAGGCATGGAGGTGAGATGCACGCCTGTAATGCCGCCTATTGTATAGGAGAAGGAGGCAGGAGGGTCACCAGTTCAAGACCAACCTGAGCTACACAGGAAGACTCTGTCTTAAAAATCCAAGGGCAAGGCATACTTCTCTGAAGTGGTTTCCTGGCATATGCAAGGCTCTGGGTTTGACCCTCAGCACTGACAAATCGAATAGTTCAGCACAAAAAGAAAACACCTTTTGATGGCAGTTGGAATAAATTTCTCTCTTTTTAGCTTTAGGAACTACAATGTACATAAAGTCATCTCTCATGCACAGCTTATTGCTGGTAAGCTTATAAGCTATACAATTATCACTGTGAGTCAGTCTTAGAACACTCCTGTCACTTGATAAGATTCTTCCAGCCCATTTCTGCTTGTCCATTTAGAATAAATGAGCCTTGAATATGCAAGGTTTGGTTCAGAATAGAATTTATACCCAGGTTCTAATCCCAGTTTGCCTACCTTTTGCTTTCCTCTTCATCCATCTGTGACCCAGAAGGTAGAAGGAACAGAAGCTGTGCTGCCCAAGGGGTGACCTTCTATAGAGGGTTGAGGGGGGGAGATCAGTGTCAACATCATTGGGAGAAAGCACTGGAAGTCTTTGAACACAGAACCTTATGCTTTGCTAGACAGGTGCTCTACCACTTGAGCCTCATATCCCTCTTGCCCTTTTGTTGTCAGTCATGAGGCTTGAACTTGGGGTCTGGTCTCTGTCCCTGAGCTCTTTCTGTGCTAGACTAGCACTGTACCACTTTGAATCACAGTGCCATTTTCTGGTGGTTAATTGAAGATAAGAGTCTCATGGACTTTCCTGCCTGGGATGGCTTTGAACTGCAATCCTCAGTTCTCAGACTCCTGAGATTACAGGCATGAGCCACCAGCCCCTGGTCCCTTTTGTTTTCCTTTTCTTTAGTTTGCTTTTCAGGTAGTGTCTCATGTTAACTTTGCCCAGGTTGGCCTTGGAACACAAACCTTTCATTTCTACCCGAGTAGCAGGTACCACTGGTGTATAACTTCATGACATGGCATATTTGTTAAGTTGGGATCTCACTAATTTTTTTGGATAGGGCTGGCTATGAACGTCCAGTCTTCCTGCCTTTTGCCTTTCAAGTAGTTGGTATTAAAGATATGCAACACCATTCTTGGCTACCTGCTCATACCTGAATGTGTGTACATGCATGTGTGTGTGTGTGTGCACACGTGATAGTAGTGGGGCTTGAACACTTAACCTCAAGTTCTCATTCTTAATCATCCTTTTTGTTCATGGTTGGTGCTCTACCGCTTGAACTACACCACCAAGCCACCATTTTGCTGGTGGATTGGAGGTAGAGTCTCTTAGACTTTTCCTATCTGGGGTGGCTTTGAACTGCAATCCTCCAAATCTCCTCAATTGCTAGGATCACCTGGCTTATTTGCTCCTATTTTTAATAAGGTTGTTCACTGTGCAAGAAGGTGGCTGGAGAGGAGAACTCAACTCCCACCAAATCTGGTGCCTTTCATCTGAGTCTGATTCCAACTGCCCCTGCCCATAAACCCTGCTTCCCCAACCCCCACACACCATCCACAGCCCAGCTCTCCATTTCCAAGAAAAGAAAGGGGAAAAATAATATCTCTACTTCTCAATCTGATGCTCAGCACTGTTTCCAATTTCTGGATGATTTCGAGGGAAGGATAATTGTTTTCTCTGTAAACCCTGCAGTTCTACGGGCTGCAGATTTTCTCAGAACAATCTGAAGCTGGCAGGAGGACTTAGAGCCTGGTCTGTGAGACAAGATGCCCAGGAATTGTTCGTTCTTCTGTCAGCCTTGAGCAGTGTACAGGGAAGATCTTGCCACAGGCTTTGTGCTGTACCAGGCCACCTACACATGTCTGCCCACGAGAGAGCATGCTCTGAACAATGTTCCTAATGTCTGCACAAATGGTTCCTTTCTCCATCAGGAAGTCAGTCTCCAAAGGAAAATTTGAAACATTGTCAGGTATTCTTCCTTGACCTAGTGAGTGATCATCGTTTTAATTAATGCTTTCTGTCTTTCTTTTTTTTTCTAGCTAAACTACTATGACTCTATGAAAGCCATCATTTCCAGCTCCAACCACGAGCCCACAGCTCTAGTAATAGGTACTGTGTGGACCATGTTCTCTTTCTGGGTGTGGGATCCTTCAAGGTCCTCCAACTTTATAGCTTCTGCATTGCAGGAGGCATCACACACTGCTAGTGTCCTGAGAAGGCTCAAAACAGACATTGCATCTGCTTGGTTTAGCTTTAGTTTTCTAAATCCACTATGAGCCAGCTAGAGAGAGAAAGATGGAAACAGAGACAGAGACAAAGCGACAGAGACAGCGATAGAGGAAAACAGAGAAAGATAGACACAGACAGAGAGTCAGAGACAGACAGACAGAGAGAAACAGAGACAGAGACATAGGGACAAAGAAACAGAGACAGAGACAGAGAGATAGAAAGAGAAGACCTAACAGAGAGATTGAGAAGACCCCAAGAGCTTGAATGATACATGTTTAACTGAAATATGAACAAATTCACTCAAATCAATGTCAGCCTCCCCGTTGAATGGACACCACATGTGATTTTCACTGAACAGGAATCCAATGTAAAACCATCCTAATGGGGCATATTCAAGAAATGGAATGTGGGAATTGAAGAGTTCAAAAAACATGAAGGATCGACATTTTCAAAAAAAAAAGGAAGAAATAAATGTGCTCATTATCTGCCTTATGAAATGGCAACCCTTCACCTTACTAATAACAATAAGATTATATATATTTTTTAAAAAACATGATGATCCAACACTTAGAAAGTTTGGGAGCCTGTGAATCTCAAGAAAGGCCAAGTAAACGCTCAGCTTCCAATTCACCCTTCAGTCTTAAGGATGCCCCCAAGATCTTAGTTCATTTACTGAGGCTATCACAGAATGCCACAGACTAGGTAACTTATAAAGGAAAAAAATGTGTTAGAAACATGGTTCTGGAAGTTGGGAAGCCCAAGAGTAGGAGCAACAGATTCTAGAGAGGGCTTTCATGCTGCATTGATTGAGATCAGAAGAGTTCACTTTTATAACAAAACCACTGGTGTTATAAATGACCTCTCCTAGCCAGGTACTGGTGGCTCTCTCCTGAAATCAGAACCACAAAGGAGGGTTAGATCTGGAATATCGAGGTAAGAGGCCAGCCTGGACAGAGACATCTTCTAGACTCTGTTTCTTAAAAATGAGCAAATGCCAGGCTATAGGCATGGTGAAGTGAGCCTGTGCCGACTAGATAAGCAAGTCCCCAGGAAGTGTGAGGCCCAGGGTTCAAACTCCAGTACAAAGAACTGGCCTCTCCCAAGAAAGCAACGAACTAAACACCTTTGTTAAGACCAATCTCACTATTTCTCTTTGAGTCTCACTATTTCACTTTGAATTCGGGGCTTTGCACTTGCTAAGCAAGCACTCTACCTCTTTAACCACACTTGCAGCCTTTTTTCTCTTTCTTTGCTTTTGTTAATTTTTAGATAGGGTCTTACATTTTTGCCCAGGGAAAGCCTCACTCAGACCACAATATCCCTACCTGTGGCTCCCGTGTAGGTGGAATCATACATATATACCACCATACCTGACTCATTGAGATGGAGTCCCCTAACTGGCTTTGATCTTCCTGATCTCTGCCACCCTAGTAATTGAGATTATAGGAATGAGCCAATGTGCTCAGGGTAAGATTCTAACACATTTAATTTTATGAGGGACATAGTCAAACCATAGTTCTCCAGTGAGCAGCTACAATTATGAATAGACTTGATCAAGCTGAACTTGGGTCTATGGGGTGAATGGGTGGTTCTGTGTGATGCAATGTGGGGGAAGGTCATTGATCTGGAAGAAACTGAAGACTTGACATCCTGGCCTTGGTCCAAATTTGAGGCAGGAATCTAATGTCTTTATGTTACGCCATTCCCCAGATTCCAGCTCATCATCTGAAATAGAGGCAGCCTCTGCCTGTCCCTGGAGCTTCCTAACTGGAATACTTCCTTAAGATGAGGCTCCAACCTACACCTTCTGCACATTGTATTTTGTGTCCATAACAATCTGTGGCTCATAGCCCACAAATCCAGCTCTTTCTCCCACCTTACAGAGTAGTTACAGCACTGCTCAGATCTTTTCTTTTACCACAACAATAGAAATCCTAAACTAAAAACTGAGTTAAGCTAAAGAAAGGGTTTGAGGTGTCTGATCTAACACAGGAAGGGCAGGGGAGCAAAGCAGCCCCACATTGGGGAATGTTAGGAGGTGATTGTATTATAAGAATACCAACATCATCAGTGGCTTCCTCCACTGGTGAGTTCACACTGTATGGGGTATTAGGAGATGAGGCCTGAGGAGAACTATCTTGTCTTGGCCTTTCCTGTCTCTTTGCTTCCTGGCTGCCACTTAGTGAGCAGCTTTCCTTCCCCATGCTCTTCCCTCATGATGTTTCTGCCTTTGGAGAGACATAAAAGCAATGGAGCCCAACAAGCCGCCAAAAACCTTCCAAAACAGTAGTCAAAATAAATCCTTTTCTAATCCAGGTGCCAGTGGCTCATACCTGCATTCCTAGCTACTCAGGAGGCTGAGATCTGAGGGTCAAGGTTCACAATCAGCTCAGGCAGGAAAGTCCACAAAACTCTTAACTACAATAAACTACTAAAAACCCAGATATAGAGCGGTGGTGGCTCAAGTGGTAAAACATCAGTATTGAACAAAAAAGACTAAGAGACAACGTCCTGGTCCTGAATTCAAGTCCCATACACTCATGCACGTGCGTGTGCGCGCGCGGACACACACACACTTTCTCCCTTAAGTTACTTCTTCATACATGTTGTCCCATCAGAACCGTAATAAGTCTGGCAGTGCCCATCATGCTGCAGGAGTAGTATAAAGGGAGCATGCTTCCCATAGTAGGGACAGGAGGGAGATTTACTAATGACAGAAAGCAGTAAAGAGTGACTGCTTCACAAGTCACAAAGTACGAAAGGGAAGGCCCAGCACTGGAACTACAACATGATTTGAATCTGAAACATCCTCTGAAAGTTTATGCAGGACAGGCTTGGTCCCCACTGCAGCAGTGCTCTGAGGTTTGGACCAAGAGGGCTCCAACCTCATCAGTGGATGACTTTCTTGATGGGCTCATAGCTTCATGGGCTGTTGGGAGGTAGGAGAAATTTTAGGATGTGAGACCTCATTGGAGGAAGTAAGTCATGAGGGGTGTGGCCTTGGAGGGTATATTTTATCCCTGCTGCTTCCTCTTTTATTCTTTATTCCACCGAAAATCCCCAACCCCACTGTGCTGTTCTGATCACCACAGCCCAAAAACTGTGGAGTGAAACCTCTAACTGTGGCCCACGTCTCCTTTTAAGCTGATTGTTTCAGCTGACCAATGCAGAAGCTCTACCCTCATACTGTGGAATCATGAGAATACCAACATTTCATTTTCTCAGATAATGAGGCTTAATTAGCATCAAGGCCTCATGCTTGTTTGGCTTGGGTTTGCTCAGCTGATGCCCTACTACTGGAGCCACCACTAGCCCAGGTTTCTGCTGATTATTCTGGAGAATAATCAGCCCAAGCTGGCCACAAATCTTGATCTTCCATATCTCAGCCATCTTAGTAGCTAAGAATACAGATGAGAGCCATCCATGCCCAGTTTAACATTAATGTTTAATACCTTGAATACCTTCTTAACACTTTATGCTTACTTCATTAAATTTCATAATTACTTTGTGAAGCTCTTGAGAATGTGTTAGAAGCCCTATCCAATTAATCATCATCTCTATGGTTAGCTCTAATTTTCAAGTCCATCGTGATGGTGGTTGCTTTATGGTTTGACACTTAGTAATTTAAAGCAATCTCAGATTCTCCAGTGGTTCTCTGTTTGAGGTACCCACTGGAACCACCTGTGGGACTTTACAAACTCTGGTTACTTGAGTTTTACCCTCAGAGAGTTTGACTTAATTAGTCAGCGATAAAACCTAGGCCTTGCCACTTTTGAAAGTCCCCACAGTGATTGGACAGGGCCATGTGATTCACAGGGATATCGTCAGGGCATCTGCATTGCTCAGAGGCTCTGTAGTAACTTTGATTTGCAGCCAAGATGAAGAGCCAATCACATGTACCACCCTACTGGATCAGAACAGCAGTAAAGTGTGAATAGTACGCCTCTCCATTTTACAGATGAAAACATAGCCATGGCAAGTTTGCTGAGCAGGTTCCTTAGCTGGAAAAGTTGAAATTGAATCTGGATTCCAGTCCTACCAAGGCAATGGGCCACCTAACATCATTGGGCTTGGGTTGGTAAAACCCCTTAGGTCTAGGATCTAGATCTAAGGTTTTACCTAGGTCATTAGGACAACATAGGACAGGTCTAGGAAAGCCTAGATCCATGGCTCCACTTCCAGGTTTTTTGGTGAATAATTAGAGATAAGAGTCCATGAACATTTCCTACCAGGGATGGTAGGAAATGAGCCACCAACTCTGAGCATAAGGAACTTCTGGCCTTGAAACAGAACAAATCTTTGTGCCCAGAGGAAAGATGTGATCATCATCCCTTGGTTATTGAAGAAGTTGATATTGCCAGTATAATTGGTCTGAGCTGCTGCCTAGTGAGCTCTGATTGGACTTCTTGCAGACCTGAATAACTTCAGGTGCTTTGAAAATGAGCCAGTGAAGAACCCCAAAACACACTCGTATGCGTGCTGGCTGCCAAACCCACATGACAGGCAGGAAAAAGAAGTGATGAAGTAAGTCCTGAGTTGCGGGCAGGCATGAGCCATGTTACAGGTTACCATGATGAACCACATGTGCAACAGTAATTGTGATGATTACAATGGATTGGACATGTCCTAGTACCTGGAGACATCATGGCTGTCATGATGGAGCTGCAGTGATGGTGCTATTGTTATAGAGCTGTGATGGAGCTGTGGTAATGGAGCTGTCTTGATGCTATTGTTAGTCATGGTGAAGCTGTAATGACATTGTCGTGATGGAGCTGTGGTGATGGGACCATTGCCATGGAGCTGTCATGCTATAGCTATCTTGAGGGCCTTGTCATGATGAAGCTGTAATGGATGCTGTAACTTATCTGCCACGATGAAGCAGTTGTCATGTAATCGTCATGGTGTAGCATTAGTGAAGCTATTGGGATGAAGCTGTCAGGACGGAGCTATCATTATGTAGCTGTCGTGATGAAGCTGAAATCAAACGGTCACGGAGACTCCTTGATGAAGCTGTCACGGTGAAGCTACATGACGGAACAGTTGTCAGGTAGCTGCAATGATAAAGCTGTCATGTTGGAGCTGTTGTGATGGTGTTGTGAACAGCTTCCTGCACCGTGTTGTATAAAAGTGAGAGTGTGCCAGTATAGCTAACCAGCATATAATACCTGATCGTGAGAGGAAGGCTTCGACGTTTGTTAGACTTCACTTTTATTGTTACTTTTATCACAAATTCCTCCTACTCATAAAATATTTACTTTAAATGGCATGCATGCTCTCCTAGAAGCTGCACTCTACATCTCTCAGTGACTTCAAGATGCCATGTGGAGTGATTGCCCTATACTCCCAAGGAAATGCCTAAGGATGCAGTTCTCAGGAGCGTGTTGTTGCTAAGCAACATGTACCTTTTACCCACCTGTGTCCCTTTTTACCTCCTCCTCTGCACCATCCCACATTCCACCTTGGACTTTAAGGATTGAGTGTCTTCTGGGAGCTGGTAGTTCATGCCTGTAATCCTAACTACTTAGGAGGCTGAGAACTGAGGATCATGATTCAAAGCCAACCTAGGAAGAAAAGTCTGTGAGACTCTTATCTCCAATTAACCACCAAAAACTGGAAGTGGAGTTGTGGCTCAAGGTAAAGCACCATCCTTGAGGGAAAAGGCTAAGTGTAAGTATGAGGCCCTGAGTTCAAGTCCCAATCATAGCATAAAAGGGAAGGGGTTGCTGGTTGTAGTTCACCAAGCAAGGTACCTGTAAACCATATTAAGACCCTTTGCAGTGGTTCATTAGTTATCACTCATGTAAGCATGCCAGCCATTTCTTTTATGATGCCTTCCAATAGAGCTGGATCTGGGCCTTTCTAAGTCTCCAGAAAAGCTGAAATCTGAGTTTCCTCTTCTTAATCCTTCAAAATCTAATTCCATTTGGCACAGAACATCATGGAAAAATCAATAATGCTTATGCCAAGGTCTCAGCTTCCTGTGAAATACCACCTTGATCCTTTCTTCACAGCAATCTTCCTGAAGGCCCTTTCCAGCTCCCTGATTCATAGCCTGAGAACTCACATCATCTTTCAAATAAAGCTTCCTTTATAAATGTCTGATTTACTACATTTAAATCATCAAAGGGTTAAAAAGAAATGTGTGGTGGTTACTTTTATTAAGGACTTCCATTAGACTTTCTTGGAACTAGGGGATTTGGTTTTCTAGAATACTGATGGGTTTAAATTCTAAGAAATTGAGATTTAGCTTTTGGAGGCTGAAGCAGCCTCAATATTTGTTTGGGCAGATGAAAAGCAATGCCTTCAGGGAAAAGAACAGGGACTTCTAGCCCTGGCTCACTTTTTAACAGCCCTGTAATGTGGGTTCCTGTTTTCCTTCCAGCTCAGTTAGGAGCTATGGTTTGGGTGTGATTTGAGTGTGTCCTATAAAGACTCAGGTACTGAAGACTTGGTCCCCAAGATACTAGTGTTGAGAGACCCAGGATCCTTTGAGGAGGAGGGGCCTAATGGGAAGCGGTTAGGTGATTGGTACATCACCTTGGAAGGGATTGATGCAGTTCTCATAAGACCCTGATTAGTTCCTAAGATCAAGCTGTTAGACAAAGAGCAGGACGGGCCCTTCCCCATTCTCTTATTCCTGTCTCTAGACATGATCTCTCACATGTGATCTCACCATGTGATCTCATACATGTAATCTCTTACATGTAATTGATCTCTCACATGCACTCCCACTGTGATGCCCTTCACCAGGCTGTGCTGTCCTCTCAGAATGTAACAAATGGAATGCCTCATCTTGGGTTTTCAGTCTCTAAAATTGTGAGCTACAGTAACCTGTTTACTTCCTAAGTACATAGATTCAGGTGTTTTGTCACAGTTACAGGAAACACCAGTACAATAAGAAAGTTGACAGAGCTCTAAAGGAAGATCCCTCCAGTTCACATTCACCAAGTCCTCATTCTGCTGAAAGAAGCCTGTCCATCCTTACTCCTTCTTGTATCAAGAAAAGAGAGACCAATGAAATTGCTTACAGTTTCCAGCTGCTGTGATTCCATCAAACAAATATTTCTCAAGCCTTAGATACCCAAGTTATAGCAAAGACTAGCCCCCAAATCAACATTATTGTTCTTATGAGTTTCATTTGACTCTCATCTCCAATTAACCAGCAAAAAGCTGGAAGTAGACATGTGGTTCAAGTGGTAGAGTGCTGGCCGTGAACCAGAAATCTAAACAAAAGCTAAGCCCTGAGTTCAAGCCCCCTGGCACACACAGAAAAGATCCTCTTTTACATCCTTCTGAACTCCAAAACTTGGTATATAGTCAGCTACTTATTTCCTGCTCTCCTTTGCACTTACCCTATGCAAGGAAAACTGTAACTGAAAATATGAATGCCTACAGACTTCTCAAGTTTAAAGTTCCATTTAGCACTGTTGTTTATTCAGCTGAGTCTCTCGATTCATGTGTATGTGTGCGTGTGTGCGTGTGTGTGCGTGTGTGTGTGTGTGTGTGTGTGTGTGTGTGTGTGCATGCCAGGACTAGGGCTTGAACTCAGAGCTTTGTGTCCCTCCTTTGGCCTTTTCTGTTCTCAGTTGGAGCCCTACTTGAGCCACATCTCCACTCTGGCGTTTTGCTGGTTAACGAGGGATAAGAGTCTCATGAACTTTTCTGCCCAGGCTGGCTTTGAATCATGATCCTTAAATCTCAGACTTCTGAGTAGTTAGGATTATAGGTGTGAACCAGTAGTCACTGGATACCCTTGCGTCAGTTTTTGTAATTAATATCTAATAAGCAAAGGGGACATTATATTGGTCAAAGTCACAGGGAAACCAAGGCTGGGCTTTGAGTGTGTTGTATTTTGCAAATGGTAAGTGTGGGCTGATTTTCTGACCACAGATCCATGGGCAATGCCACTCTGTGGAAACTAGGGTAGAAAAGAGGGATACAGTACAGGAAAGGATAGGCAAGAGAAGTCTCCAAATCTAACGTGATTCAGACAGATTAAAGGTCTGATCTTCATGGAATGCTATTAGCTCATAAGTATGTTGGTGTCACCTTAGTCATCCTGTTACTAGTAGCACACTGGACTATCAGAATTAATGTCCCATCAGGACCCCAGCCCCTGAAGATTTGCCTGTTGGTTAGTGTGCCTTGAATCTGTTTTAGGTTTCCATGGCAATTGCTTAAACTTTTCATCATCCTTCCTTCAGACCTTGGAGAAGCACTATGCTCTCAGTTTCTATGACAACCATATAAACCTGTATCTCTGTCTGGCTCTATTGAAATAGAACACTAGAGATAGTGCAAATGAATTGGCTGCTCTCCCTTACTTGAAAAAATTAATAAATAAAATAAAAAATGAAGTGATACACCTGCTTAGAAGTTTTGGGTCACAAGAAGGGCAAACATGTCAGACTGTTCTCTGAGCTGCATGTGCTGTTTTGTTTGTAATTTTTATTTTTGATACTTAGAGTGCTCACCCAGATTCTTGAGCTCACCCTGTCATCTTGTGTAATTATCTATCTGCCTTCCCCTCTGCTTGACAGCAGCAGAGCTGCAAGTTCAAAGCTGTTTCCCTTCCTACTGAATATCAAAGGAGTAGAGGAAGGCAGGACAGAATGACTAGTCAGTCATCCTACCCAACATAGCCCTTCCACTGTGGAAAAGTGAGCAGGGTCACCAGCTCAATTCACCATCAACATATTGACCCAAGGTGGCTCAGGACTTGGATTAGAGCCCATGGATACTGTGGAAATTCCATCCTGGCCATTCAGATATGACTCTACACTCTCTGGCTGGATTCATACCATGGAGAGCAGCCACCCACCATTTCACAAGCCTCATGCCTGTAATCCTAGCTACTCAGGAGACTGAGATCTAAGAATTGTGGGTTGAAACCAGTCCTGGAAGGAAAGTCCATGAGACTCTTATCTCCAATTAACCACCAAAAATCCAGAAGTAGAGCTGTAACTCAAGTGGTAGGGTGATAACATTGATAAAAAAAATCTAAGCAGGAGTGTGAGCCCCTGAGTTCAAGCCCCCTCTCCACAACAAAACAAAACAAAATGAAAACCTGGTTTTGTTTTCTGCGACTATTTTTAGGGTGCACATTGGGAACGACAAATGTCAAGCAAAAGATGAAAGAGATGATACATGTGGGAAAAGATGTCAAAATCAGGGAAGGCTCAGCCTCCCCTTCTGTGCCTCAAAAACGGGCAGAATGGGATCAAATGGTTTTTCACATCTATAAAGGAGTCAAAGTGTTTTCATTCTGCAAGAGAAAGAACTTGCTGCTGACGGGTGGCATGGATCGGATCATTAGAGTCTGGAATCCCTATATGCCCAGGTAAGATGGCTTTCTCCAGTCAACAGTACCAATGATGTAGCAAGCTTATTAAAAGCAGAACTGGAGATCCAGTAATGGAATAATCCCTATCCAAAAACTAATCTCCCATACACACTGCCTAAGAACTTCTGCTTATGGACTTTAAAGATTCAGTCCTTGAGCTTTATTACACTTCATTTCAAAGGTAAATGCCTTGTGCCAGTCACCAGTGGTTCATGCCAAAATCCAATTCAGGAAGCTGAGATCTGAGAATAATGGTTTGGAGACAGCCCTAGGCAAACACATCCAAGCAACTCATCTCTAGTTGACCGGCAAAAAGCCGGAAGAGGAGCTGTAGCTCAAGTGGCAGAGCACTAGCCTTTAATGGAAAAGCTCAGTACATTGTCCAGATCTTGAATTCAAGCCCTACCTCTCCTTCCCCATGAATACACACACACACACACACACACACACACACACACACACACACACACACACACACACACGGTAAATGCCTTGTAAAGCCATCATTCATCCATATCTCAGCACCATTCCTTTCAGCAGACTGCTATCTTCCTTACGCTGAACCACCAGCACTACAGTTATGGATTTTGAGGTGTAATCAATGTATTTTTAGGTAGCTCCATCAAGTGACCCCCAAGTGCACCCTCAGTGGATTGTTTAGTCTCACTCAATTTACAATGCTATCATGCCTAAATATGGCAGCATTAACAGAAAAGGGAAGAATCATTTCTGGATTTTGTGTGTGTGTGTGTGTGTGTGTGTCTATCATGGGGCTTGAACTCAGGGCCTGAGAGCACTGTCCCTGAGCTTTTTTGCTCAAGGCCAGTGCTCTACCACTAGAGCAACAGCTCCACTTCCCACATTTTTTGATAGTTTATTGGTAGTTTTTTGGAGATAAGAGTCTCACAGACTTTCCTGCCCAGGCTAATTTTGAACTGCAATCTTCAGATCTCAGCATCCTGAGTAGTTAAGATTACAGGCATGAGCCATGGGTACCCAGTAAAGGATCATTTCTTGATGTAAGAAATCGGAGATTGCTCTGGAAAGCCTGGTATTTGGGTAGCAAGGTACCAGATAGTATAGCCAGTTGTGTGTGGCTATCAGACTCTGAAATCAGCCACAGACTTTTCATGATAAGCCAAGCTGAGCAGATGTTCTAAGGTACTTCCTAAGTGATAATAATGACTACCATTTTACTAAGCACCTACTTTGTTCCTAGACCTGTGCAACACATACATTTCACTGTCTCTGCTCCTAGTGTCAACCTGACTTACAAACGACAATACAGCTGGAGCCCTGAGAAATTCAGTGGCTTCCTGGAGGTCATGGAAGAATGGAGGTCTAAAGGCAGCTTTGTCATTTCTATCACAATAGTAGATGGGGAGGAGAGAGAGAAATGAGAGTTCCTTCCTGCCTTGAGGTGGGAATTTCGGGCTGGGCAGGAGCCACATGGCACATGTGGCATAATATTCTTGGCATAGCACTCTGGGGACACACAAGAGAAGCCTGCATCTCTCAGGGATGCAAGAGTTAGCCAAGATGATACAGACAGATGGGCTCTGATTGCTGTCCTCCCATTGCCTAGCCAAGGACAATCTGATCAGGTGCTAGAGCCTCAGTTTCCCCATATATAATGGTGACCAGAAAATCTGCCTCCTCAGATAACACTTCAGAATTAAAAATGAAATAATCCACCTGAAACACTCAGCAGAGTGTCAGATACATAATAAGAAGACAATTACCTTCTATACCAACTTCTACTCCTTTAGATTCTCATTTGTCTATTAACAGAGAACAATTTTCTCAACTCTTGGTTATAAAAAGGTTGCGCCTCTCGCTGTCTCCTCCTTCTCCCACAGCCAGCCCCGAGCTTCTGCAAGGGTCCTGGGATTCCTTCACATAAGCTTCTATTGCAAAGCCCAGGTTTTAATACTGTTCACTTTACCTGCACAAAGAAAGGTAACATGGTCACCACTCCAGTCCCAGCTTGGGCTCTTGCTGGAGTCCTCTTACGCAGGTATCACCAGCAGTCAGAGAAACAACACCCCAGGTTCTGTTGCACTAATGGGTTTATCACACAAGATAGCTCCATGTGATTCCAAAACACAACCCTCCTCCATGCCGAACAGAACTGCCAGATCTAAGCCAAGTTGTGTTTTCCATTTTTAGATAGTACAGACCAACCTGCATTGTGCTCATCGGTTCCTTTTCCATTCTAGAAAGCCAACAGGTATGCTGAGAAGCCACACGGCCCCTGTGAGCTACATCCACATCTCCTCGGAGGACAGCAAAATATTTTCTATGTCCATCGACAACACTGTCAAGGTGTGTCTCCTTTTACATTTCATGCATGCCTTCTCTAGGCCAGTTTCAACAGAGAGGTACCCCTTCCCCTGCACTCCCCTGGCCTGGACCATTGGAAGGGCCTCTCCCCCTGTCGTGCACAGGTGTGTGAGTTTCTCTGGAAGAGGAGCTCTGCAGTCAACTGAACACTTCAGGCCTTCATGCCTGGTGCTTTGTGTAGGGCTGAGCGGACCTTCCAGCATGGAGGCCCCTGCATGCACACATGCCAAATACATCCTGGTGCATACCTCTCCTGTGTATTACAGGGTAGAGAAAGGGAGCTACAGAGAGAATAGAAACCTCAAGAAGACAAGAATGCTACTAGTATCAGTAATAATATCTGATATGGTGTGGAGGGGGTGTGTGTGCGTGGGTGCATGTGTGTGCTGGTACTGGACTTGAACTTGAGGCTTCTAGTTCTGGCTTGGATTTTTTGTTGTTGTTGTTCAAAACTGGCATGCTACCACTTGACCCATACCTCTATTTCCTGCTTTTTAGTGATTAATTGGAGATGAGTCTCATGAACTTTTCTGTCCAAGCTGATTTTGAACCATGATCCTCAAATCTTAGCCTCCTGAGTAGCTAGGATCACAGGAGTGAGCCACAAGTGCCCAGTCTTTAATATTTTCTTATTTTAAACTCTATGGAGAGCAAGTGGGCCCTTTCTGAAAGGTAATAAACATTCTGGTGGAGGAATTAACACCACCATCTCATTTTGCTTGCCTTCCTTCCTATTTTTATACCACAAGCTCTGTCCACCTTTAAAATTAGGTTCTCTCATGCCTTTCACAATACAATCTTTTTGTTTTTGATGACACCAGTGGTGTGAACTCAGGGCCTTGGACTTACTAGGCAGGCTCTCTACCACTTGCGCTATGCCCCAGCCCTGCAATTCACTCTGATTTTACAAAAAGAAGTTTCACTAATTACATCCTTCATCCATCATTATGATCACCTTTTCCCATGAACAGGACAAGTTTTCACCAGCCATCCATCCTAAAGTGGGAACTTTAGGGAGGAGACCAATGTCACACCAGCTTGCTAATCCCTCAGAGCATAAATGACTGAGGGATATTGAGGGTTGAATTGTGTTTCCTTCTCCAGATTCATCTGTTGAAGTTCTAATCCTCAGTGCCTAGAACGTGGCAGTATTTTAGAAACAAGGCCTTTAAAGAAAAAAGATTGTCCATTTGGCTCTGATCCAGTATGATTAGAAGCCTATGAAAAGACACTAGGAAAATCTAGATTGAGGAGTAAGCATTCGAAGTCACAGTAAAAACTGTAGCCACGTGCAAGCCAAGGAACAGCCCCATCAAAAAAAAAAAAATCAGTTCCACTGCCTCCTTGATCATTGACTGGAAGAAAATATGTTTTTTGTTGGTTAAGTCACCCATGGAAAGGTGTTGGCACCCCTAGAAACTGACGCCATAGATTTACCTACTCTGTGAGCCTAGGAATGATCCAGGCCTGTATCATTCATTCCATCTACAAATCTACCAAGTGCTTGCCACGTGCCAAGAGTGGTCCAGGTTCAAAGACAAGGGAAGTGATAGAAGTCCCTGTTTTCATGGAGGTGATGATCCAGAGGATGAAGTCATATAGAGAATTACAAAATAAAAGAATTAACAAATATACTCAGTGGTGACAGGTGCTACTGAGGACCGTAAGGCATAAAGTTAGGAAGTCCAGGGTTGAACACTCCATGGAAATTTTAGGCAGGAAGTAAGGAAAGAGCCGAACATTATGGAAAAATTATTTTGTGTTTTCTAGAGGTTGGTTTAGGAATGACCGCAGTAAGATGACATTTAAGAAAAAAAAGCTGAGAAAATGAAGGGAACACCATGCATTTATGTGCAAAATTAAACATGAAAGAGAGAGAGACGGAGAGACAGAATTGAAGGCATGCAAACAATAAGCATAAAGACCCTGAGGTGGAGGCCAGTAGGAGATGAGATTGGAGGGGAATCAGGAAAGCATGAGGAGGTAGATTGTGGAGAGTCATGCAGGCCTTCATCCGGACTTTCATTTGTCGTCATGCATTTGTATGTTACTTGGAGTTGTGATTCATAGGCGTGACATGACATGACTTGAACGAGGTTTTGAGTAGATCATCGAGGTTCAGGGCAGACACAAGGAGAATAGTCTGGAAGTTTCTGCAGCAGCCTGTTTGAGGATGTAGTGCCAGCACACAGATCAGCAACCCCTTCCTCACAGTTTCACAATTAGTGGAACTGTGGCCAGATTTATTTGGCCACAGAACATAGCCTGGACTCCTTGAGTTTATTTGAGTGTTTTGATCTCACTTGGAGTTTGCCACAGAAATGTGTCTGACTGGGGGGTTCTGTCAGAGACTCTATTTAGGTGTTGTATCTTTTTTTTTTTGGGGGGGGGGGGTCCAGTCGTGGGTCCTGAACTCTGGGCCTGGGCGCTGTCCCTCAGCTCTTCAGCTCAAGGCTAGCGCTCTACCACTTGAGCCACAGTGCCGCTTCTGGCTTTTTTTCTTTTTGCTTATGTGGTGCTGGGGAATCAAAACCAGGGCCTCAGGCATGTAAGGCAAGTGCTCTACCACTGAGCCACCTTCCCAGCCCCTAGCTGTTATATCTTATATGCCCATCCAAAATTCAAAATCATTCAAATTCCACAACACATCTAGCCCAAAGAGTTTTAGATAATGGATTGAAAAAGAGGGAAAAAAAGGATTTAGTGATGTAGAAGAGAAACTTCTAGAAGTAAGAGAGGAAACACAAATACATGATGTACTACTTAAACCTATGGGCTACATTTAAGACAATCCTTACAGAGAGGTTTCTAGATGAAGGCCCCTGCAAATAAAGAAGATTTTTAAATCAATAATGTAACTTTCCACATTAAGATACCTGAGAAAGAAGAGCAAACTAAACCCAAAGCAAGCTGAAGGAAGTAAATAATAAAGATTAGAGATTAAATAAAATAGAAAAACAACAGACAGAACCAACAGAACTGAAAAGTGGTTCATTATAAGAACATCAACCAGATCGATAAACTTTGATCAAGCTTGATTAAGGGAAGGAAAAGAGAAGACTCAAATTACTAAAAATCAAGAATGAGAAAAGGAATATTATTACCCCCTTCAAAAAATAAAAAGGATTCTAAGGTAATGCCAGCAATCGCAATGCCAACAGATTTGGCAACCTACAAAGAATTATATGCATTTCTAAAAAGACACAAAGTATAAAAACTGACTCAAGAAGAAAAAGAGTAAGTATACTTATAATAAATAAAGAGATGGAATTATTCAAAACCACAAAACCACCTACTATTTTATTAGTATGAAGAACTCAAGCCACAGAGACAGAAAAGTGTTTCGTAATTAGGCTAGGGTAAGGTAGAACATGGAAAGGATGCAATGAGTATAGATTTTTTGGGGGGGAGGGGAAGTGGGGTGTAATTCTTTAAAATCAGATAGTAGTCATGGCTGACACCCCATGGAAATACTGGTCTGTTTATTGACACACATTAAAAATGGGAATTTTGTGGTATATAAATTTTATTGCAATAAAGTTATTTCTTAAGGAAGAAGACCAATAGTAAGAAGATGACACCACAGCTTGGAGTCTGAGCAAAAAAAAAAAAATGCAATCGAGAATAAGATGGGTAAGATCAGGCGCTCAGTTGTAGATGCATTGAACAGAGTTGCTCTGAGTCTAGAGAGTTTCAGATTTAAATTTAGGAAGCATTAGCATTTAGATGGAATTTTAAGCTATGGACAGGATGAGTTGGGAAGGGAAGGACTGAGGTAATGAGCAGAGGAGGGGAAATATAGCCCTTCAAAGATGGGTAGCTGAGGCCCTGTGATGAAATGGGCTTGTCCTTTGTGTGTCCAATATGGCTCCTGGATCATGAACTCATCAGGTCCCATCTCCTGGTGAGGATGAGGAGGATGAGGATACTTTATAGAAAACTTGGGTGTCACAATCATAGTCAGATAGATCTGGAGCCCAGACTCAGTTCAGTCCTTCTCAGTAAACTTGATTCCAATGGAAAGATTTATGAATTTTGGTGTTTGATTTATTCTGAAAATCAGCTTCATCCAGTGGCTTCATCTGAAATCAGGAAGCTGCAGGCTTATAATGTTTAATGAGCTTGGCTTTCTTTTCAAAACTTGTGGTCCTCTGGTAACAATAATTCTGTATGTGGGACCACATCCTCAATCTTATTTGCTTTTCCCAGGGCCTCTCCATTTCCTCCTAATCTAAACTCATGATTACAAGATTAGCATCGTGCCTGTGATGATTCCAGCACATTGAACAGTTTCCCAATGTGTATTTAAAAATGTATTGAAATTCCATCATGGAAATGTGGTGTGTAAGTTATTTCTGAATATATTATTCCCCTCAAATAAAAACTAATCAAGTAGGAGCCAAACAGCTAGAGTTGGTCTGATCAGACAGTCGTCAGTCTTTTGAATGGATTTTTCAGCCCAAATCTTTCAGTGCTTTAAATCATCGTGAAACAAAAAACACTCCAGGAGTTTGCTGGTTTTCTGGCATTCTCTGACAGCAAGTGAAGTGACAGATTCAGATTTCCTTTTTTACTTATTTTCTGTAAATTTAACATTACAAACCACAAAGAGAGCTGTTTAGTCTCAGCTAGAGTTAGGCTGCAAAGGAAGTTATTTCTTGGAAGGAAGATAGCATGATGTACTGGGTAACATAAGAAATAAACCCATGCTCTCTATAGGTTAAAGGCACTAGAAGGTGGTTTCTGTCTACTGTAATGATCCAATGTTAATGGTGCTTTTTCTACCATTAGAGAGCCAGCTCTATCCAGCTGAGAGACCCAATCTCCCTTAGGTTCTCATCCACATGCTAGTGGTATAAGAATAAAGAAGACACAGCCATCTCTTTAAACAAGTGATAGTAAGGCATTGGTGGGCCATGTCTATAATCCTAGATATTCAAGAGGTTGAGATCTAAGGATTGTAGTTTGAAACCAGGCCAGGCAAGAAAATCTGTGAGACTCTAATCTCCAATTAATCATCAAAATGCAAGATATAGAGGTATGGCTCAAGTAGTAGAGCACCAGCCTTAAGCAAAACAAGCTAAGGGACAGTATCCAAGCCCTAAGTTCAAACCCCAGTCTTAGAGCGCATGCACACACACATACAAGAGATACATACATCACTACCTCTCCCAGCCCACTGCTGAGTTCAGGACCACCCTGAGTGAAAGTTTGGATGTCACTTCCCAGCCACAACTCTACATGTGGACAAAGAAGTATGGATTCAGGGAGGTGGTGGAAAGCTTTAGATACATCCGGCCATGAGTCTAAACTCTGAAACCACCACAAGTTAGATGACTTTGGGTGAGTTATTCAATCCTCTAAATGAAGTAACTTAATTCTTTGGGGCATTAGTTTCATCTTTGCCAAATTGGGGGCAAGATCCACTTTGAGGGATAGTTGGTCACCAAAGTGTATGTATAAGTTGCTCTCTATAGAGTGATTTTGCCACAGGAGACTTTCTTGAGCCTGATAAACACAACTCTAACTCCAACAGGATAATCTATAAAGGGAGGGATTGATGATCATTTAAGCCAGATCATTGGACCTTAGCCTCGATGGCTGGGGTCACAGGCAGGACCCTCTGTCTGTGATTCTCAATCCTCTGTGCAAATGAGCTTCATCATCTCTTACTGCAGCTAGCTTTTCTCCCTCCAAGTGGCAAACAGCTGTATGTACCCAGCCCCCAATTCACATGCCAACTCTCAGCACCAGCCAAAAAAATCTGAGGGAAGGACACAGATTGGCCAGACACATCTGCTACGCCTCTTGCTTGAAGTCCCAAAGGCAAATCTGTAGACACATGCACAAAATGAGGATGCCAGAGAGACAGCTTTGTAGCCAGTGATGTGAACATTTGTGAGCCTCATTATTTTCATTTGGGGGATTTGATACCTAGTCTGAACTAGGAAGAGCATCTCCTCACCTTTTTCTTCTTGGACCTTAACAGACATCCCTGTATAACATCCCACCTGAGGTCCTATTCCCAGACTCCAGAATTTGATGTGTGTTCCTGATCCTCTCTGAAATCTCCTTTTCTCTCTGTCACTTTATCAATTAGCCAACTTCCTGTTGTTATAACAAATACCTGAGACCAGGTGGTTTTATAAGGAGTGGAAGTTTATTTAGCTCATGGTTCGGAGGCTGGGAAAACCAAGAGCATGGCCTTGACATCTGATGAGGGTCTTCTTGGTACATTATAAAATAGTAAATGGCTTCTCATGGCCAGAAAGAGCAAATGTACCAGGGTACATTCTCTCTTATAAAGCCATTTGTGCCATCTGGAAGGCCTCACTCTCGTGATATCATCCAATCCTGATCCCCTCAGAAGGCTCCTACCTTCAAGTGTCATTGATGTAGATTGGGGGATTAAGTTTGCAACATGAACTTTAGGGGGAACATAATCAAACTATAGCATCTTATATCATAAAGTGAGAGGAAATGAACAGATTGAGTGGATGATCATGGAGGTCTAGGGACAGATAATAAAACTGTTGAAAAAGGAGTAACTTCCAAAATCAGTATTTCAGAAAGGAGAGGGGACATGTCCCCCTTGAGCAAGCCACCCTCAGGGTTGCTTTTACACAGAATTATTTTTTTTTAATTTTATTTTATTTTATTTGAGAACATACTGTACAGAGGGGTTACAATTACATGGGCAGGATAATGCATACATTTCTTACCAAGCATTGCAGCCTCCTCCTTTGTTTACCCTTCACCTCCCTTCCCAGCCTCCCCCATCCCCCCCACCCAATCATACCCCCCCCCACACCGACATTGTAAAGCTGGTTTTGACATGACATTTTGTACTTCTCATTGTTGCAACAGGTCCACCTGAATCCTTAAACGACTTGTTTGTCCCCATCTCCTCCACATGTTATACTGACATCAAATATAGTGAAAGCGGGGGTTACACTGTGGGGGAGGGACATACAAAGCAACAAAGAAATAATCTTATAAATGCGTTAGAAACACATGCATGAAAGAAACAAAAACATTAAAATACATATTTGAGGGTTCGTTTTCCTAACATCACATTCTCTGACTTTTTCCGCTTGACTCATACCTATACTAGATATTGCAAATAAGGGAAACCATGGGACCTACGTTTCTTTGGGCCTCGCTTACTTCACTTAATATAATTTTTTCCAAGCCTTTCCATTTCCTAACAAATGGGGCAATGTCATTCTTTCTGATGGAGGCATAGAATTCCATTGTGTATATATACCACATTTTCTTGATCCATTCATCTACTGAGGGGCATCTGGGTTGGTTCCATATCTTAGCTATGGTAAATAATGCTGCAATAAACATAGTTGTGCTGGTAGCTTTAGTGTGGTCTTTTTTGTAAACATTAGGGTAAATGCCCAAAAGTGGGATTGCTGGGTCATAGGGGAGTTCTATGTGAAGTCTTTTGAGGAACCTCCATACTGCTTTCCAAAGTGGTTGAACAAGTTTACATTCCCACCAACAATGAAGTAAGGTTCCTTTCTGTCCACATCCCCTCCAGCATCTGTTGTTGTTAGAGTTCTTGATTTTTGCTGTTCTAACTGGAGTGAGGTGATATCTCAATGTTGTTTTGATTTGCATTTCTTTTATGGCTAGGGATGTTGAACATTTCTTCATGTGTCTGTTGGCCATCCTTCTTTCTTCTTCAGAGAAGCTTCTCTTTAAGTCTTTCGCCCACTTATTTATTGGGCAGTTGTTTCTTTGAACATTTGTTGTTGGGGGGTTTAATTTTTTGAGTTCCAAGTATATTTTAGGTATGAGACCCTTGTCTGTTGTATGGCTAGTAAAGATCTTCTCCCAATCCGTGGGCTTTCTATTGATCTTGCTAGCTATGTCATTTGCCCTGCAGAAGCTCTGCAACCTTATACAATCCCATTTGTCCAACCTTTCTTTGATTTGTTGTGTTTCCGGGTCTCTATTCAGAAAATTTCGGCCTGAGCCAAGGAGACCTAGGGTTTCTCCTATTCCATCCTTACACAGGATTGTTTTTTATTGGTCATGACTGTGACTCCATGCTGACCTCCCAGGTGGCATGGATGAAATGACAAGCTGGATCTTCCATAATCCATTTGCTAACTTCCAGGGATAGCTAATAGGAAATAAACACAGTATAAATTCAGCAAATTAGGGTCTGGCATAAAAGGTAAAGGGCTAAAATCTCATCATAGCTAATTTGTTTCCTGGAGACTCCAGAGAGAAGAAGAAGATCTGTCCATGCACATCTTGATCATGCTAAACCTTAGGTTTTCCTTTTGGAGGGAGAGAGGGGGGGAGAGGGAGAGGGAGAAAGGGAGAGAGAGAGAGAGAGAGAGAGAGAGAGAGAGAGAGAGAGAGAGAGAGAGAGAGTGTCCTGAGGTTAACTTTTGGTTTAGTTGCTTACTGATCCTTAAACTTGGGTGAGCTTACTGAGGCTCTGTGAGTGGGTAATGCCTGCTTCCCAAAGTGGATTTAAGAGAACACTAATTTGCTAGGTCTGTGCTATAGTTTGCTATAATTCATTGAGCCATGTGTTAGAGGCTTTGGGGAAGTGGGGTCTAATATGAGGTCTTCAGGTTTGCTGGAAAAGCAGTCTTGAGGAGGATAGTGAGATTCCAGGCTACTCCACACTGTCACTTCCTGGTCATGTGGTGAGCAGTTTCTTTCCCTCACTTGCTCCTGCCATGGTATGCTATATGGTTGAATACCTAAAGCAACAGAGCCAAATGACCCTGGATGGGAATCTCCAGAACTCTGAGTCAAAATAACCCTTTTTCTTTATCAGTTAGTTTTCTCAGCTGTCTATAATAAAAATGGGAAGTCCCATGGAAAAAAAATCTGTGGGATTCCTATTTCCAATTAACCACCAAGAAGCTTGAAGTAAAGATGTGGCTCAAGTGCTAGAACACCAGCTTTGAGTGAAAAGGCTAAGGAAGGAACAGTGTCCAGATCCTGAGTTCAAGCCCTGGTATTGGCACCAATTTTTGTTTAAAAAGAAGAAGGAAGGGGAAGAGAAGGGAAAGGAAGGGAAGAGAAGGAAAGGGAAAAGGAAGGGAAATGGAAGGGAAAGGAAGGAAAGAAGGAAGAAAGGGAGGAAGGAAGGAAGAAAGGAAGGAAGGAAGGGAGGGAGGGAGGGAGGGAGGGAGAGAGAGAGAGAGAGAGAGAGAGAGAGAGAGAGAGAGAGAGAGAGAGAGAAAGAAAGAAAGAAAGAAAGAAAGAAAGAAAGAAAGAAAGAAAGAAAGAAAGAAAGAAAGAAAGAAAGAAAGAAAGAAAGAAAAGACAAACCTTATTAGAGGCCAAAAATAGCTTTGTATGCCAAATGAGAGTCAATACCACACACCTCAAAGGCAGGTCCATGGAAGAGAGGTGACTGGTTATTTCCTTCTGGGGTAAGAAAAGCTGGGAGAAGTGTGTAGTCAAAGGCATACCCCCCAGCATGGCCAAATACAACTCTTCCCATTCTTGTCCTTCACAACAACAAAGGAGAAGCAACCCTTTTCAATCCTTTGCCTCCTAGTGGGCCAGTGTGAGGCTATGTTTAAGCTTGATCAAGCCAGACAGACGATGGCTAGCGAAGTAGCACACAGGTGTTTATGATCTGCAGTTATACTCCCCTGTTTTCTCTGCAGATTTGGGATCTGGAGACCCACAGCTGCTTGTTCACAGCCTCCTCCAAAGCCAGTGGTATTAAGGGGGAGTTTGCAACCTGCCTTTATCTCCCTGGCCCCCAAGCCCTGTGTGTGGCCACTGATTCTGTAGCACTCCTGAAGCTGAGACTGAGGTATGAAACTGTTGGTCCTCTGAGCTCCACTTCTAGGCCCAGACAACCATGATCAACTTCTATACACTATGTTCTGCTATTTGGACTTTTGCAGAAACTACAGGCCCTGAGTATCTAGCTTGTGCTCTCTCTCTCTCTCTCTCTCTCTCTCTCTCTCTCTCTCTCTCTCTCTCTCTCTCTGTCATTATCTTTAAGTAGTTTTACAAAGGAGTTGCCATTTAACAAGACAGTTTATGAATGTATTTCTTTTTTTGGGTCCGGTCGTAGGGCTTGAACTCTGGGCCTGGGCGCTGTCCCTCAGCTCTTCAGCTCAAGGCTAGCACTCTACCCCTTGAGCCACAGCGCCACGTCCGGCTTTTTTTCTTTTTGCTTATGTGGTGCTGAGGAATCGAACCCAGGGCCTCAGGCATGCAAGGCAAGCCCTCTACCACTGAGCCATCTTCCCAGCCCTATGAATGTATTTCTTGATCAATGTCACCCCTTTCAACGTTCTCACCCACCCCTCCTCCACCCACCCCTTCCCTTACTCTTCTTTATTTTGTAGGCTATACATTAGATTCTTGACTGCATTCTGGCCTCCCCTTCTTTTCTTCATTTATCTACCTCTCTCCCCTGTACCCCACCCTCCTCCTTTTGAGTACTTGCTTGCTGGTATTTTATTTGGCTAAACATTGACTTTGCCTTTCTCCCTGAATCTACCATATTTCAGCTACTATATTGCAGAGGTCTCTTTAATATTTTAGGGGGGTGCTAGTACTGGAGCATGAACATAGGACCTGGGCACTGTCCCTAAGCTTTTTCATTCAAGGCTAGGGCTCTACCATTTGAATCACACCTCTACTTCCTTGCTTTTGGTGGTTAACTGAGTCTCATGGGCTTTTCTGCCCCAAATGGTTTTGAACTGCAATGCTCAGATCTCAGCCTCCTGAGTAACGAGGATTACAGGCATAAGCCACCACCAGCAGTGCCCAGTGATCATTTTCCATTAGCTACCTCGCACCCCTGGAGTGACCCATGTTATACTGAAGTCTGTGAACTGCACTTCTTACACCACCTATCCTATCTGCCACCCATTTGTGTAAGAAGTTGTCCCAAACTTTACTACATATAGAGGCTGATAATCGTGCCCAAGGTATCACCAGAATAATAAGAGTCCAAGCAGTGCTGTTGCTTTCCTTGTGCCTCATGTTTCAGACTCTTGTCCATAAAGCATGAGAGCTATTCTGGGACAGCACATGCCCAGGTGATGAGACTTCAAGTGGGCTTCTCTTTCCCAGCGCCTCAGTATCCAGGAGCCCTTCGGTGCTCCTTCACCAGGCCACGTCACTATTGCCCCATCTGCAAGGAAAATGGGCACCCACCTTCTTGCCCTTCTGCACTCAAAGAGACCCCTAGCCTTGACCATCTGTCAGCTCTGGGTACTTGGGCTGAGGCTCTCTGGTCTCACAGAGTTTTAAGTTCTTCCTCCATGCACATGCAAGTCATCTCTTCCATTCCCAGAGCCTTGCAGATGAGAAGCAGGTGCCTTACGTAGGGAACAAATTGTCCTAGGGTACACAAGGCAGGCACAGATTAGGGACCAGTTCTACCCTTTGGTTTCATCCATCCTGCTGAAACCAAAACTTTCAGAGATGTCAAACGAGAGAGGAAACCTTGCATTTCAAACACAATCAGGGGTAGGTGCTGGTGGCTCACACCTGTAATCCCCACTCTCAGGAGCTGAGATTCGATTGCGGTTAGAGGCCAGCCTGAGGGGGAAAAAAAAGTCCCTCAAAACTCCATCTTCAAACAACCAGCATAAAACAAGACTGGAAGTAGAGTGCAGTCACATGAACAAACTGGAGGCCCTGAGTTCAAGTACCTGCCTCCCTGGTAATAAATCAATCAATCAATCAATCAGACAGCTGTGTGCCAATAGCTCACAATTCTAATCCTTGGTACTCAGAAGGCTGAAATTTGAGGATCACAATTCAAAGCCAGCCTGGGCAAGAAAGTCTGTGAGACTCCTATCTCCAATTAACTACCGAAAAACTGGACCAGCCCAGAAATAATCAAATAAATAAATTAGACTGCTAACATGGTGACGGGGTGAATATGTTTAAAGTATTCTATATGCATGTACAGAAATATCACAATGAAACCCTTTTATATTACAAAATGCACACCAGTTCAAAAGCTAAAAAAATATTTCTAGATGTATGTTAAAAATAAAACCACACCAATTGAAAACCCAATCAGACAATAAGAAGCAGCTGCCTGGTCTCCCTTCTCCAGAGCCTACAAATAAACCACCCTGGTTGGCCCCAGTGGCCCTGGGAAAAGTCATAGCTCTTCTCTCTGGCTCTGTCACAGAGCAACTCTCTCTTACCCGGATCAGTCACTTGCCCTGTGCTTTGACAACCTCAAGCATTTTCTGCCTTCGAAAAAAACACATCATTACAGCTGGCCTACAGTATAGGTGTCGTTTCCTCTTATTCACCCATTTCCCCTGCCTGGTAGCTACTTTTCTATGAACTCAAAAGTCAGTATCAGGAATTCAAGACAAGGACACAGGAAAGCTTATAGAGTGACTATAGTCATTTGCACATTCCAGGTCCTTTTATCTCTGCAGTAATGGTGACTGGATTTTCTGAACCCAAAGCCATGACCCAAAGAATCATAAATGGTTTCTCTTCATTGGTAAACAGAGGCACAAGAGGAATCTGAAATGCAAGAATCAGTCAGGGACCTGATGGCATGTCAAGAATTGACTTCACAGATGGGTGCTAGTGCTATACCTGAAACACTAGCTTTCAGGCAGCTAAGATCTGAAGATTGAGGTTCACAGCTAGCCCAGGCAGGAATATCCCCAAGACTCCAATTAACCAGCAAAAAACCAAAAGGAGAGGTATAGCTCCAAGAGGTAGCGTGCAGAGTGCTTACATTGAGCAAAGAAGTCAAACAAGAGTGAGAAACTGAATTCAAGTCATAGTACCAGGAAAGGAAGAAAGAAAGAAAAAGAAAAAAAGAAAGAAAGAAAGAAGGAAGGAAAGAAGGAAGGAAGGAAGGAAGGAAGGAAGGAAGGAAGGAAGGAAGAAAAAGAAAGAAAGAAAGAAAGAATGAGAAAGGAAGAGTTAGCAATCCTATTTCAGAGATATCAATCCCTTGGAGCTATCCAGAACTGGCTAGAGCCTGTGACTTCCTGACCTGCTCACTGAGGCCATGGAACATGCTTGCCTGGGTTAGGAGAGCCTGGGCAGAGCAACTGCCAAGTGATTATTGCCACCAGGCTGGGAAACAATCGCAGGCTCTTCATTCAAAATACTAACGTGAGTAGCTGAAAACAGAAGCTTCCGTCAATCAAACTACTGTTTGTTCTACATGATAGCGTTGTGCAGAACAAACAGCCTGCTTGATTGATTTCTTTTGCAGTAGAGTGACTGGATTCCACTTCACAGCAAACATGGCTTCAATCTCTAATGCTAACAATTAGATATTGGATCATGTCTCCTCTCCCCACCCCAGCCCACCCTGTCTCTGCTGTCACTCAGGATCTCTAGGACCTAGATGGAGTTACCTAATCTGCATCTGTCTAACTGAAGCTCCACTCTCTTATCTCAAGGCTGGGGAAGGGAACCTAGGGTGGCTGCTCTAGCCAGCACTTCCTTTTATGGCCCCTGGCCTCCCCTCATCTGGCCCTTCCTCCTCCTCCCACCTGGGCCAGATCTCACCTTCACTTCTCCAAGCCCGATCCTTAATACCAGACTGTCTTTGCCCTTGAAAAAGACTCCTGGCACCATGCCTGATGCTTCAGATTTGTGGGGGGCTCGGCAGTTGGACAGGACCTGAATCTGGGGCTACGCTGCAGAGGGCAATGAAGAAAGCACCGTGGATTAGCAGTGGGGCAGAATTCACATTCAGTACTGAGAGTCTAGCGCATGCCAGGCCCCTGAAGACAGTTACATTCCCATCACTCCTCACAGGACCATCTGTTTTGCAGATGAGGAAATTCATCCAAAGGGATAGGTTGTTGTCTGCTCTGTGTCCTGGCCCTAGGCTGGGGGTGGCTCATAGGGCAAGGCCATGCTTGCTCAAGGGTGCCATCTCACCTTAGCATGCATCACTCATCAGGCTTTGCCTGACTTGTCTGCTCTGAGTAAGAAGTGCTGCCTTTGGGCATGAGGATTCACTGAAGACTCATCTGTTTGTATTTGTTTAGGGGAAGATCTAAATTAGTAGTGAAGATCTATTGTGTAATCTCAAAACCATACTCCTACCCTAAACAGGACATCTGTAACCAGGCATGGTGGTCCATGGCTACAATTTCAGAGCTTGGGAGGTGAGCCAAAATGATCATGGATTTGAGACCAGCTTCAGGTACATGGCAAGACATTGTCTCAAAATAGTGCTGGTCACTCATACCTGCAATCTTAGCCAATCAGGAGGCTGAGATCTAAGAATCAATGTTGGAAGTCAACTGGAGCAGGAAAGTCTACTAGTTTATTATCTCCAATTAACCAATAAAAAGCTAGAAGCCAAGCTGTGGCTCAACCTGCGGTGAGGCACCAGCCTTGCACGTAAAAGCCAGGCAAGAGCAGGAGACCCTGAGTTCAAGTTCCAGTCCTGCTTCTCCCCATAGGGAAAAAAAAGAGATAGGACAAGGAGAAAGATATATATATATATACTCTGTCTTCTTTTTCAGGAGCTATGACATTGTCTTATCACACATCAATTACACATATGATGCTCTGTGCTAATGAGATTGTACGTTTTCTCTTTTAATCTTCAAAAGAACCAAGTATTACACTGTGTCATGCAGTTCCCTCAGCTGTCACCATCTCTCTGTCTTTCACAAAGAAGGTCTGCCCCAGAGCCCCAGCTGGTGCTTTCTCACCAAGAGCCTGTGGTATGCTGTGGATATAACCCAACCTTCAGGCATGTGGTCAGCTGCTCAGAAGCATCAGTAAGTATTGACACTTAGTATCAGCAATGTGGTGTCTGCAAGAGTGGGCCTGACACCTCTGCCCTTCCTTAGAGCCCAGTAATACATTCTGGTTATATTTTACACCAAGAAATAAATAATGGAAGTGGTGCTGTGGCTCAAGCAGTAGAGCATGCGCCTTGAGCTGAAGAGCTTAGGGACCGTGCCCAAGCCCAGAGTTCAAGACCCACTACCAACAAAAAAAAAAAAAGAGAGAGAGAGAGAAATTCAATTTTCCTCTCTTAATGATCAGGTAGTGTTTGGGTATTCTTAAAATGAGTCAGATGGAAGAGTTCCTCTAGTGGCTTGTAGAATGAGCCATTTAGATGATCCATCCATCCCAGCAGTATTATTTCATTGAGACTCCCCTGTCTGGTGTAAAGCAATTACTTTCTCTTAATATATTGTCACTCTAATCCATGTTGGAGGGGCAGAGACTTCCATGGCTGCATCTCAGCACACAGATTTGTGAGGATCATCTTACCTGCATCCTTAACAAGTCACATAGTGTCAGCCCATCAAGGTGGAAGATATAACCAGTTCCTCTTGAACAAGGAAACCTGGCCCATCTTGTGACTCATCTTCCACTCCATGATAAGGAGAGGCTATACCCTAACCACACTGAGGATGTCTTCCAGTTCCGCAATCTAGTAGTCGAGCAGCATTTAATGGTGGCATATGTTTCAAGAAATAGGTGATTGGATTATTTTGTGGTTGTGCAAATGTAATAGAGTGCACTTCACAGACCTGGGTGGTATAGCCTTTGTGTGTGTGAGTGTTTGTGTGTGTGTGTGTGTGTGTGTGTGTGTGTGTGTGTGTGTGTGTGTGAAAGCCTATTGCTCCTAGGGTTATGATCAACAGAGCAACAGGAGATTAAAACAAGCACAAGAGAAAACAGTGGAAATTAAGAGACATGGCAAACATCAGATATTGAGGCTTCTATCAACACAATATTCTGTTTGACAGATATCTATCTATCTATCTATCTATCATCTATCGGAATATACATCCTAAGTCAAGACAACAATATGGTATAGTAAATCAAGTTACCTCATCATTTATTATCATTATTGAGTATCATTCATCATATGTGATGGTATTGCAGACTTTTTTTTTTTGGGTCCGGTCGTGGGTCTGAACTCTGGGCCTGGGCGCTGTCCCTCAGCTCTTCAGCTCAAGACTAGTGCTCTACCACTTGAGCCACAGTGCCACTTCCAGCTTTTTTTCTTTTTGCTTATGTGGTGCTGAGGAATCGAACCCAGGGCCTCATGCATGCAAGGCAAGTGCTCTACCACTGAGCCACCTTCCCAGCCCCCTTGCCAGACTTTTATCTATGATTACCAGTGTCACCACAAACATATGAGTAGTGTATTAAGACCAGGACATTGGCACTGCTTGGATACCAGGAGGAAACAGGAATATTTCAGCAGTGCATGCATGTTGACTGAAATGCCCTCATGCAGCACATGACTAATCACTTTCTGAATCACTAGCCTGGGTACCATTCCAGGTGAACGCCCAGAGTACATGGCCTCACCTTCTTTCCTGCTTCCTTGCTAAGCCAAGACTATCATACTTTAGGGTAGTGGTCTTGGATGCAACCCTTACTTACTGCACACCTCTATTTTGGGTTCCTCATACTCATTACAGCCTCATGCCAGTGAGACTCTGTTGAACAGCTTTCTGCCAAAGAGATTAATGATCAGTATGATTTTATTAAGTATTATAAAATGGATTACCTGGGCAAGAAGTTTGTTTTCTAACAATGATTCAGTTCCAGCACAGCTCCACGTAGGGCACGTTCCTGCATAGCTGAGGCTCCTGCTGAGAGGAAATGCTTATCTGCCCTACCTCCCTGCCTCCCATGTAGCTGGCCACCTTCCTGCCCATCATTGCCCCTAGCTCTGTTCAAACTGTTCCTATCTCCACCCAGGAGCTTTCCTGTCTCCTTTTTTCCTGCATATACCTGAGGATCCTTCTAGATCCATCTTCTATGAAACTTTTCTTCCCAGGCCCCTGTGTTCAGACACCACATTGCTATGTACACAATCTCTCACCTGAGTAAGGCTCACCTTCAACGAAGGCATCAGGTAGATGAGGCAAGGGCATTTGTGTCTCCTCTCTTCTCTTCTCTTTACCTCCCTCCTTCCTTCTTTCTTCGTCATAGAACACAAATATTAGCTCCTCTAAGAAACATTCTTGCAACATCTTCAAAAAGACTAAGAAGCTAGATCAGCTTCGAGCTATATACTCTTATTTTAAACTGCTTTTTTTATTGTCAAGGTGATGTACAGAGGGGTTACAGTTACATAAGTAAGGTAATAAGTACATTTCTTGTCAAACTTGTTACCCCTCCCCTCATTTTTCTCCTACTCCCTCCCCATAAATTGTGCAGATGATTTTCAACATAGTGCCTTGTGAATATCACTGTTTCTCTGGCTCCCCTCTTACCCTTTGTCTCACCACTCTGTTGTTCCCCTTCCCTTCCGAAACAGTAGTCTATAATTGTTTAATAATTGTATTCAGCTCTGGTACAATTTGAGGTTTCCTAACCCACAAAAAAGAAAGTTCAAAAGGCTCTGCTGAGTGGGTGAGAGGGGGCAGGAGAGGGTGCATGAGAATAAAAGGGATGGAAGAAGGGGGGAATGGGGTAGGGGAGAGGGAAAAAGAAGGTGAATTTGTTTGGAAGACATGGTAAGCCTTTATGGAAATGCCACAAGGAAACACTCCTTTGTACAACTAATGTAAGTTAATAAAAATATTAAAAAATAAATTTTAAAGGGAAAAAAATTAACATTCTTGTTGGGCCTTGATGGCTCTTGCCTTATAACCCAAGCTACTCAAGAGAATGAGGTCTAAAGATCGTAATTAGGGGGGCGGGGAGAATTGGGGGGCAGGGAGAATTGGGGGGGGCAGAGGGAAGATGGGAAGGGATGGGAAGGGGAAACAAAGGAGGAGGCTACAATGCTTGATAAGAAATGTACTCACTATCTTGCCCATGTAATTGTAACCCCTCTGTACAGTATTTTCACAATAAAAAAAAAATCGTAATTCAAAGCCAGCCCAGGCAGGGAAATCTGTGAGACCCCTAACTCCAATTAACCACCCAAAAGCCAGAACTGGAAGCATGGCTTAAGTGGTAGAGTGCTAGCTTTAAGCAAAATAGCTAAGGGACAGCACTCAGGTCCCAAGTGCAAGCCCCAGTATTGGAGTGTGCGCGCGCGCGCGCGCGCACACACACACACACACACACACACACACACACACACACACACACAAACTACCTTGTAGGGACAGATATTGTGGAAAAAACAACGGAGACAGCTCAAATGCCATCACAGCATTTTAGGAGCCTTGGCTCTGGAAAGGGACCACAACTGCAAATAATACAATATGCATGCCTGGCCATTAAAACCTAACAGCAGGTGCTGAACACTTGTAACTTAAACTTGTGGGGCTGGGAAGGTGGCACAGTGGTAGAGTGCTTACCTCGCATGCATGAGGCCCTGGGTTCGATTCCTCAGTACCACATCCACAGAAAAAGCCTGAAATCGCGCTGTGGCTCAAGTGGTAGAGTGCTAACCTTGAGCTGAAGAGCTGAGGGACAGCGCCCAGGCCAAGTCCAGGCCCCATGACCAACCAAAAAATAAAAACAAAAACAAACTCATAATCCTAACTAATCACGAGATCTGATGATTGGAGTTCAAAGCCAGCCTGGGCAGGAAAGTCCATGAAACTCTTATCTCTAATTAACCACCAAAAATATCTGAAATGGAGCTTATAGCTCAAGTGATAGAACATTAACCTTGAGCAAACAAGCTAAGGAAAAGCACCTAGGCCCTGAGTTCAAGCCCCAGTACAGGCACAATAAATAAACAAAAAATAAATGTCCTAACTTTCAGGCCATAAGAAAGGACCCATTAGCCCTGGGTTAATTCCATGGTAACATCATCTGCCTCCTTCCATAGCTTTGCTTTCCCTCTGCATCTCTCCTCTGGCAGTAGGTGGCAAGTAGATATTGAGTTGAGATATAAATACTCTCACAGCTATTATGGTAGTAGGCACATGCTGGGAATAGATTCCCCGACATTGAGTGAATTAAATTAGTGATCTCAGTATGTGCTGCCTTGCAGATTTGCTGCTGGGTTAAATCTCTGTAGAATCGTGATGTCACCATCTTGATCTAAATCCCATTGCACACTTGATAATTGTGGTAGAGAGAGTATAGCCAAACATCTTCATGAAACCCAAACTGATGCATACCACAAAACCACACTGCCCACTTGGTCATGAATGCAGAAGCCTGAAAACTGCACAACGTATTATTCATCAGTTGAATGTTTATAGCATTTTATATACTTAAACTTACATATATACAGTGATGAAAGTTTGTTTTATAAAAATAACAGATAGATGACTATCAGGAGAACTCAAAACTGTAGATATTAGTGAAAAGATTTTAAAATCTAGTATCAAATTTTTAATTTTACTCTTGTATGTACTTGTATGAGGGCATGAACTCAGAATTTCACTCTTTTTTGCTAAAGTCTGGCACTCTGCCACTTGAGCCACACCCACACTTCATCTTCTTGCTGGTTAATTTAAGAGAGGCATTTCATGGACTTTTCTGCAAGGCACTGGCTTTGAATCACAATCTCCAGATCTCAGCTTCCTGAATAGCTAGGATTACAGATCTGAGCCACTGGTGCCCAACTGGAGATATGTCCTTTAAGGAGGTGGTGAAGTTAAAAGAAGCCATTCAGTGTTGGAGGTTCTAAGAGAAAGAGAGAACACAGAAAGACCAACTATGCACCTGCACAAGAGAAGAAGCCACTTAGGACTCTGGGAGAAGGTTGCAACCTGCAAGGTAGGGGGTGGGGATGAAAGGGCTTCAGAAGAAACTACCCTGCCAGCACCCTGACCTTGAACTTCTGCGTAGAGACTATGCTATAGTACATCTCTGTTGCTGAAGCCACATGGTTGTGGTACCTTGTTTCAGCCCTAGCCAATAGTTTGCCAGTGTGTACCAGAAGCACCAATCTATCTTTATTTTTTTTTTATTGTGAGAATACTGTACAGAGGAGTTACAATTACATGGGCAAGATAATGAGTACATTTCTTATCAAGCATTACTGCCTCCTCTTTGTTTCCCCTTCCCATCCTTTCCCATACTCCCCCTTCACCCACCTGATTCTCCCCCCCACCCACCAAAGTTGTAAAATTCGTTTTTTGACATACCGACTTGTACATCTCATTGTTGCAATGGGTCTACCTGTATCCCTAGTTAAACGATTTGTTTTTTCCATTCCCCTCCACAAATTATACCAATATCAAATACAGTGAAAGCAGGGGTTATATCGTGGGTGAGGATGTACAAAGCAACATAGAAATCATCTTGTAAATATGTTAGAAACAATTGCATGGAAGGAAAAAAAACATTTGAATACTTATCAGGGTTCATTCCCCTAACATCAATTATCTGACCTTTTCTGGTTGACTCAGACATATACTAGTTATTGCAAATTAGAGAAACCATGGGACCTGTGTTTCTTTGGGCCTGGCTTACTTCACTTAATATAATTTTTCCAAGTCTTTCCATTTCCTAACAAATGGGGCAATGTCATTCTTTCTGATGGAGGCATAGAATTCCATTGTGTATATATACCACATTTTCTTGATCCATTCATCTACTGAGGGGCATCTGGGTTGGTTCCATATCTTAGCTATGGTAAATAATGCTGCAATAAACATAGTTGTGCTGGTAGTTTTAGTGTGGTATTGTTTGTGATCATTTGGGTAAATGCCCAAAAGTGGAATTGCTGGGTCATAGGGGAGCTCTATGTGGAGTCTTTTGAGGAACCTCCATACTACTTTCCAAAGTGGTTGAACAAGTTTACACTCCCACCAACAATGTAGTAAGGTTCCCTTCTGTCCACATCCCTCCAGCATCTGTTGTTATTAGAGTTCTTGATTATAGCCATTCTAACTGGGGTGAGGTGGTATCTCAGTGTTGTTTTGATTTGCATTTCTTTTATGGCTAGAGAGGTTGAGCATTTCTTCATGTGTCTATTGGCCATCCTTCTTTCCTCTTCAGAGAAGTTTCTCTTTAAGTCTTTAGCCCACTTATTTATTGGGCAGTTGCTTCTTTGAAGATTTTTTGTTGGGGGATTTGATTTTTTAAGTTCCAGGTATATTTTAGATATGATACCCTTGTCTGTTGTATGGCTAGTGAAGATCTTCTCCCAATCCGTGAGCTTTCTATTGATCTTACTAGCTATGTCCTTTGCCAGGCAGAAGCTCTGCAATTTCATGCAATCCCATTTGTCCAACCTTTCTTTGATTTCTTGTGTTTTTGGGTCTCTATTAAGAAAATTTCGGCCTGTGCCAAGGAGACCTAGGGTTTCTCCTATTCCATCCTGTAATGTTTTCAGAGTGTCTGTTTTGACTCTGAGGTCTTTGATCCATTTGGAGTTGATTCTGGTGCAGGGTGATATATAAGGATCTAGCTTTAGTTTTCTACCAGTAGTTAACCAATTTTGCCAGCACCATTTACTGAAGAAGCTGTCTTTCTTCCATTCTATTTTTTTAGCTCCCTTATCAAAGATTAGATGGCTATCGATCTTTAGGTTCATTTCTGGGTTTTCAATTCTATTCTATTGGTCCTGAGGTCTGTTCTTGTGCCAGTACCAAGCTGTTCTGATTACTATGGCTTTGTAGTAGAGTTTGAAATTTGGTATTGATATTCCTCCAGCACTCTTTATTTTTTATTGTGAAAATACTGTACAGAGGGGTTACAATTACATGGGCAAGGTATTGAGTACATTTCTTATCAAGCATTGTTGCCTCCTCCTTTGTTTCCCCTTCCCATCCCTTCCCATCTCCCACCCCCCACCCCACCACTCCCACCCTTTTACCCCCCGCCCCCGGCCAAAGTTGTAAAGTTTGTTTTTCCACATAACAACTTGTACATCTCATTGTTGCAATGGTCCACCTGTATCCCTATTTAACCGGCTTGTTTTTGCCCTTCCCCTCCACAAATTATACCAACATCAAATACAGTGAAAGCAGGGGTTATACCGTGGGAGAAGTACATACAAAGCAACAAAAAAAATCATCTTATGTTAGATGTTAGAAACAATCGCAAGAAAGAAAAAACATTTGAATACTTACGTCCCATGGTTTCCCTTATTTGCAATAGCTAGTATATGTCTGAGACAAGCAGAAAAGGTCAGATAAGTTGATGTTAGGTGAAATGAACCCCAGGATAAGTATCCAATCTATCTTTAGTATGTTTGACACAGATCTTTAAACACTAATTTCCTTTTGTTTGGTAGCCAGCATCTTCAGGTCACATGTTTCCCCTTTTTTTTTCCTGCAGGTAGTGAAAGTGTGGGATTTGGACACAGGAAGACACTTATCTGAATTTATTGGAGATCATGACAATGCTGGAATTACTTGTCTGACCTTTGACTCCAGTGGAAGAAGGTATGCACTTTCTCTCCAGTGTTTTGATCATTAACAAGTTGGCTCCTGCCATTTCCTCCTAAGGCCACACTCTGTTTCCTAGGCTTGTAACCGGGGGCAGAGATGGCTGTCTGAAAATCTGGAGCTATAACAATGGACACTGCCTGCACACCTTGAGACACGGCAAGTGATCATGGGATATTCCTGCTAGATGGACCTCATAAAATATTGATGTAAGAGTTAGCATTTGAACCAGGCATGGAGCTATGCACCTTAATTCCAGCACTAAGAAGGCTGAGACAGGAGGATTTCGAATTAGAGGCAAGCCTGGGCTTAAGAAGACCATCATAATTTTTCCCAGAGCTGTTCACTGAACTCACGAGTCTGTTTTTGATGAAATAATAATAATAAGTCTCTGATTCCTGTCAGTAAAACTTCTACCGGGCAGATAAGATGCGGGCATTCTTCTGATACTGGAGGGAGATAAAATAAAGGTTACAAGACAGATCAGAGTTGTGAAGCTAAAGCCATGAGCCTGTGAGCCCCAACTCTGCTCTAACCTCCTACATTCACATAGCGATTCTAACTCAGTGAGTGCACATGCTGCTGGGTCTTGTCAGGAGAAACTCAGCCTCCTCTTGGAGCTGAGCAAGGGCCAAATCAGCATTATGGACGATGAGGGAAGCAGCAAATCTAAAGCACTTTAATGACTTGACTCATGTGGTCTGAAAACCGCTAAGTGTGCAAGTCTTCATCATCATCAGTGATATTAGAACAATCTATATACACTGATCAAGACTTAATAAGGAAGCTGGTACCTCTCAGGAAATTGAGATCTGGGAATTGTGGTTCAAAGCCAGCCAGGACAAGAAAGTCCATGAGACGCTTACCTCCAATTAACCACCAAAAAGCCAGAAATGGCATTGTGGCTCAAGTGGTAGAGCCCTAGCCTTAAGCAAAAATGCTAAGGGACTGTGCCCAGGCTCTGAGTTCAAGTCCAATACTAGAGGGAAAAAGGAGAGAAAGTTAATAAGGACAAGTGTTTGATATACGATGATAATATTACTGTCTTTCCAGATGAGAAACAAAGTGAAGTCTGCGATTGCACCTACCTGGAGATAAACCAAAAGAAGTGAGTCATATTCAGGTTGAATATGAGAAGAGTTGCATTTAGTGGGGAATCTTTAAAAAAAAATACAATGTTTATTCTTGAGCAAGATTCCAAAATACTGAGGGGAATTTTCCAGAAGAAAATGTGTCAAGGCATTCCCAAGGACCCTGTTTGCTTTCTGGAGATGATTTAGCCATCTAGGCTATTGGAACAATTTTCTGTGCATTTTGACAGACGTTTAGAGGTATAAAATGTGATAGTGCTATATCTTCCCACCAAATGTTTATTAAGAAACTAGAGATTAGAAACAGGAGCAATCAAATCCAACCATCATACATCAAAGAACAAAAATTCAATCAACTCCCTTCTCAACATAGAAAGGGTGAAGCATTCTTGGTCAGTCTCTGTCCAGGCCCCGCTGGACATGCTTCTAACAAGTTCGTGGGAACAGGAAATCCTCAGACAGCTGCCCGTCCAGGAGCATCCCTGAATCTCAGAAGTCATAGGATATCCTGTGACTTGTTTCCTGATCCTTTAAGCACCAGTTAAAACATCCGACCTAATTGACCAAAGAGTATTTCCTGTTGTGTTAGGTAAGAAACAGAAAATCTCTGTTCATTCCTTCTTCATTTATCTCCTGGGCATGGCAAAATTAAGTCACAGTATTCATTCCACACACAAAGTAATCCGATGAAGAGCTTAAGTGTTGAAGTGTGCAATTCTGTTATTGTCCTAGGTATGTCATAGCGGTTGGATGGGACCGAAGAATAAATATGTACTTTGTAAGTGAAATGTACCAAATGATGGTACTTCGAAATCCTCCTCTGGGTTGATTTTTTATTTCTCCCTCCCCTTGTCCCTTTCCCTCTTCCTCTCCTCTCCCACTCCTCATATCACTTTCCTTGTCTCCTAGTCCCACCCGTCCCCCTCTCTCACCCTTTTAGAAAAAGATTTGGCCAGGCATTCATGGCTCATGCTTACAGTCCTAGCTACTCAGGAGCCTGAGATCTGAGGATCTCAGCACAGACAGAGTGCCAGCACAGACAAAAAATCTGCAAGACTTCAATTAATCAGTAAAAAGCCCGAAGTGGAGCTGTGGCTCAAGTGATAGAGTACCAGCCTTGAGTGAAAAGGCTAAGTCCCTGATTTCAAGCCCCAGTACTGGTACACACACACACACACACACACACACACACACACACACACACAGATTATGGAATCCCTTTGCTATCTGGCACAGATCAAGCTGAGATATACACAGGATTTTCTCTCTTCATTCATCTTTATTCACTCTTTTCTTGTTTCCATTGAAGATATTTCTCCACTATTTTTTTAACTAGAATTTTTGTTTTTGTTTCCCCCCTGTAGTTTCTTTATTTTATTGTAAAGATGCTTTACAGAGGGGTCACAGTTACATGGGTAAGGCAATGAGTACATTACTTGTTGATTATTGTTACCCCTTCCCTTCCTTGTTGTTGTCCCTCTATCCCTCCCCTCCCCCACCTCCCACACTCCTCACCACTCCACCCCATCCCCCCACCTGAAGTTGTAAAGTTCATTTCCAATATTCTGTCCTGTGGGTATCCTTGTTGCAATGGGTCATCCTATGTCCTTGTTTCAGCATTTTGTTATTCCCTTCCCCTCCCCAGATGAGACAAATGTATATACAAGATGCAGGGTATCAAAATTAAGTACAGTGACAACAGGGGACATACCCTAGGGGGAAGAACATGCAAAGGAAACAACAAAAAAAAATACATGGTACATTTAAAACAATAACAATGCAGACAGACCTCTTGTGTCCATATCTTGGGGTTCATTTCACTTAACATCATCTTATATGGACATATACATGGCTTTGAGCTTTACAGCTCATCTGATAAGATTATTCTATATGTATTCTACTTATTGGATATAAGGGAAAACATGGGACCTAAATTTCTTTGGGACTGAGTTACTTCACTTAATACAATTTTTTTCTAAGTCTTTCCATTTCCTAACAAATGCGGCAGTGTTGTTCTTTTGATGGAAGCACAGAATTCATATATATACCACATTTTCTTAATCCACTCATCTATTGAGGGGCATCTCAGTTGGTTCCATATCTTAGCTATGGTAAATAATGCTGCTATAAACATAGCTGGTAGCTTTAGTATGACCTTGTTTGTGATCATTTGGGTAAAGGCCCAGAAGTGGGATTGCTGGGTCATAGAGGAGCTCTATGTGTAGTCTTTTGAGGAACTTCCATACTGATTTCCAGAGTTGTTGTACAAGTTTACACTCCCATCTAAGAGAAACTCTACGGCTCCTTGGCACAGGCCAAAATGTTCTTAATAAAGGTCCAGAAGCATAACAAGTCAAAGGTTGGACAAATGGGATTACATGAAACTGCAGAGCTTCTGCACGGCAAAGGAAATAGCTAGTAAGATCAATAGAAAGCCCACAGACTGGGAGATCTTCACTAGCTATACAACAGACAAGGACCTCATATCTAAAATATACTTAGAACTCAGAGAATTAAATCCTCCAAAAACAAATCCTCAAAGAAACAACCGCCCCGTCAACTAGTGAGCTAAAGACTTAAAGAGAGACTTCTCTGAAGAGGAAATAAGAATGGCCAATAGACACATGAAGAAATGCTCAACTTCTCTTGGCATAAAAGAAATGCAAATCAAAACAACATTGAGATTCCACCTCACCCCAGTTAGAATGGCTATAATCAAGAAATCAAGTAACAGCAGATGCTGGAGGGGATGTGACCAAAAGGGAAACCTACTCCCCTCTAGTTTCTTATAAGGAAGCTGTCGGCACTATAGAAAATCCCTGGGGATCCAAGTCAGATTTTGTCCTTAACACGTGTGCTTTCCTGCCTGCCTTTCACCCCTTCCCCCATCTGGTATATTGGCTGACCGTGGTCTCTCCTCGCCAGCTTTTGGGGTCTCCCAGCTGTCTAGCACATGCACACATCCCCCACTTTAGGTTAATCAGTCTATCAATCATCCAGCCGTTTGGGTTCTTCCTTCTTCATCCTGCCCCATCTTTAATCTATCTCTAAATAGAAACGGGATGCTAAATGCCATCCACAAGCAGTCTTACAGAGAAAATTCCTCTTTATGGCCTAGAGATGGGGAAAGGAATTAAAAGAGAAGGGAAGTTGAAAAATGCTGCCTAGAACTAAGTCTTAAATCTCCCTCTGCCATGTCTTATCCTCACTTAGGAGGAGGAGGAGTCGTGGATTCCCGAAAACCTTTAAATGCTGCAAATTCTTTATTCTTCGGGATGTGCCAAACCTTGCATCCTCAGAATGATTTGAGAGATGACTACCTGGGAGATTTTGGCATTGAATTTGTCCTTTGGAATTACAGGTTCCTGGGCTGATGGCTTTGGTGTTAGCACTTGGAACAGCTCTGGTGTTATTAGGAAGGCAAAGCTCTGTAGCCCATCAGAGGCGAGCTTGTCAGTTGACATATGATTTGCTGGAACGCAATCACCCAAACGTCAAGAGTGGATTGCTTTTTATTCCCACTGGCACTAGGGGAATTTGCTTTGACATTTCAAAAATCTGCATCAGTGGTGGGGTGAGGGGTAGGGTTATGAAATGTGCCAACACCTCCTCTCTGAAGTTGTGAGTGTGTTGGCAGTTTATTTTAGTGCATGTACAATGTCTCTTCTTTGGCTGTGGATACAGGATGCCCCACATGACTTTCATCACTTCTGGAAGCCGCAGCCTCCCTGGCAGGATGACCTGGTGAGTCCTAGTACTGCCTAGCTCTTGAGCCACACAGCAGCACATGATCAGGACCTCTGTTACTCCAGGCCCTGTTACATTTCCTGGGCCTGACTTGCATGAGGACAGCATCTTACAAGTCCCTATTCTTGCACAATTTGTGATTGGGGTCCAAGTAGAGCCAGGCCTACTGAGACCTAAGTGGCCACTTCTTTCTCTCTGGGGAGGTTGACAACCCCATGTAGCCAGAGGGCCAGAGTCGATCTAGCACTTATGAGTCCAGCTAGGAGTCCCAGTATGCAGGAAGGGCAGTTTACGATGAGGTAGGTGAGCTTTTTTATGGAAGAAAGCATCTACTTTCTGCTTCTGTTTCACCCTGTGTTCATTGTACCATCTGTGGGCATCCAGAGAGCTTAGAGGGTGACATTTTTCTGCCATACAGTGGCTTATTGGAGGCCAAGATGCAGAAGACTTCTTATTTCTGATTAGAACTCAAGAAGATTCCCACTTTCCTGCACTAACTGGCCCTCCTCAAATTATCTGAATGCCGCTGGTGCTCATGGCTCACACTTGTAATCCTAGCTACTCAGAAGACTGAGATCTGAGGATCAAGGTTGAAGCCAGCCCAAGCAGAAAATTCTGTGAGACTTTTACCTTCTATAGCAAAAAGCCAGAAGTGGAGGTGTGGCTTGAGTGGTAAAGTACAGCCTGGAGAGAAAAAGCCAAGGGAGAGTTCAAGATTTTGAGTTCAAGCTTCAGTATCAACACACACACATACACACACACACACACACACACACACACACACACACACACACACATTATCTAAATTCCAAGACAATAAAACAAGTGTCAAGAAAGCAGGAACAGGCCAGGTGCTGGTGACATAGATCTGTAATTTTAGCTACCTAGTAAGTTGATGTCTGAGGTCTCTGTTCTAAGCCAATGAAGAAGTCTGTGAAACTCTTATCCAATTAATCACCAAAAAACCCAGAAGTGGAAATGTGAGTGGAAAAAAGCCTTGAGTGGAAAAGCTAAAGGACAATGCCTAAATCCTGAGTTCAAGCCCCAGTACTGGCATTAAAAAAAAAAAATAAACAAGTCTACTGTGCCTAGCTGTGTTCCTACATCCTATCTACTTTTTTACTACACACACACACACACACACACACACACACACACACACACACATATAAAATTGAATAGGTATAAGTAACTTGTAGTAGAAATTCTGTGAAGACAGCCCTCGTTGACAACCCCTATCTATCTTTTCACTGTGGTCTACCCAGCTCAGCACTTGACTTGTAGTAGTTGCCCAATACAAATTTATTTTCATCTGATCAGCATCTGTTAAGTGCCTCTTGTGGACCAAATGTGAGTTGTTTCAGGGATGAGCAAAAACAGGACAGTCCTGTCTTGGTGGAGTTTGCATTCAGTGAATGCTGAATGAAAGAATAAATTTAAAGACAGAATATCCCAGAGAAGCCATGACCACTACAGGAGAAGAAGTCATGCCTGAGTCAGAGGGTGCAGAGTCATTCAATCCTCAATTCATTCACAGGCATTTATGGTGCATTGCATCATGCCACCCTTAGTGGACAGGCACCGAAGTGCAAATGTGAATGAAGTATGATTTCTCAAAGTCTCACAACACTGAGCAGATAACCCACTGAAGAAATGCGAATCATACACTGTAGCAGAAGATTAAATGAATTCTCAACTGCTGCAGAAGCACACAAGTGGGCATCACTAACTTTGTTGACATCACAGGGGATTTTAAAAGATGACTAGGATTTTTCTGGAAGGGCAAGATGATCTAGATGAGGAGAGAGCGTGAGCCAAAGCCTGGAAGGTTGGGAGTGTGTTGTCTGTACTCTGGAGAGTTTGAGGAACAGATGCATGGGTCCTAGGTGGGAGAAAAATGCTAGAAAACTAAATCAGAGTTTGAAAGGGATACTAAAATAGTATTTTGGCCTGCTTGGTCTGCCCTAACAAAATGCCACACACTGAGCATTTTGAACAACAGAGATTAAATTAGATTTCTCACAGTTCTGGAAGTGAAAGTCTGAGATCGGGTTGTCAGCATGGTTGGCTTTGGGTGAGGGCCCCTATCCTGATTCATAGATGGATGCCTCCTTGCTGTGGACTGACAAGAAAGGGAGAGAGTGAGCTGTATGTCTCTTCTTGTTAGACACCAATCCCCACATAGGGCCCCCATCCTCACAACCTCCAATAACCTCCCAAATGCCCCATCTCCAGATACTATCTATCACCATGGGGTTAAGACTTCACTGTGTGAACTGGTAGACATGGAAGAATCTCAGACCTAAGTGCTCACAAGTTTTGGATGGTAGATTGGGAAGGGGATCTGGAAAAACAGTATCATGGGGAAAGATGGCCTTTTTCCAACAGTCTCACTGACATCAGCTGTATTTCGACAGAAGGGTTACCTTAGGTGATCATGGACAGGTCCTCAAGGGACTTTCTGTGGCAAACACACACGGGCAAAGGTGACAGAACATCTTTGTATGATCAAGAAAAGCCAGTTCCCTTTGCAGAGTAACTGCCCTGCAAGACACTTCTGGAGCTGGGTACTAGTATCTCACACCTGTAATCCTAGCCATTCAGGAGGCTGAGATATGAGAATCATGGTTCAAAGCTAGCCCAGGTAGGAAAGTCTGTGATAACTCTTATCCCCAATTCACTTGCAAAAAGTCAGAAGTGGGGCTGTGGCTCAAGTGGTGGTAGAGCAGCAGCCTTGAGCAGAAAAGCTAAAGGACAGCACCCAGGCCCTGAGTTCAAGCCCTACTACTAGCTTTCTGGACCCTGAAGTGCCAATCTTTACAAACCCATGTTGGGTTCTTATACCTTTCTGAATGATACATAACCCAAACTCCTCATTTTGAAAACAGATGGCTTCCATTCATACCAGCACATGTAAGCCACAGTGAGAGTGATAGATGGGATCCCCAGAGGGTCTGAGTCATGGAACATCTTACCTCAGCATACAGGCCTCTGGTTATGGGAAAACTGAACTACCTTGCCAGGGACTGAGTTCTGTTGTCCCTTACCCCACAAGGGCACCTTGCCAATAACCTGCTTGTCAGCCACATGGTGAGGTAAGGAAGCCACTAAAGTGGCACTTCCCTGGGAAAGGCGAGGCCTACGGAGGTTATAGAGCTGACTCAAAGAGATACAGCCTTTCTGGCTGATCTAGAGACTGGTTGGCCGAATGGAGGTTCCATACACACGGGCAACCGCAGGGGAGGGCAGCAGCTGTTCCTTCTATCTTCTGGATCGAGTGAAGCCCAGTTAAATGTGGATGACTTGAGACTTGATTGTACTTTTCAACTCCACCCATCGCTCCTCTGCAGAACCATGGGCACAAGGAGGACATCCTCTGTGTGGCTCAATGCCCACCTTTTCTTCTGGCCACCTCCAGTTATGATGGAGAGATTATCATTTGGAATGTCATCTCAGGCCACATATACTGCAAGCTGGACACTTCTAGCCATGTGGATGGCCTGGATCATGGAAAAGGTAAGCAAAGGGCAGGCTCCGAAGCTTCTCTGCACCAGCTTCTGCTGACTTGAGCCTGGCAAGTCAAAGTTCTACGTTCTGCACCTTTGCACTTGGGGAAGGTGGGCCTCATTTCAGGTTTTGCCTTATCAGATGGAGAGTTACAAAGCTTTCAGAAGGGAGCTAAAGAGTTCAATCAGCCAGATGCCAATGGTGCATGCCTGTAACCCTAGCTACTCAGCAGGCTGAGATCTAAGGATCGTATTTGGAAGCCAGCTCAGGCAGAAAAATGCATGAGACTCATATTTCCAGTTAACCACAAAAAAAGATGGAAGTGGGGCTGTGGTTGAGTGGCAGAATTCCAGGATTGAGCAAAAATAGGTAAGGGTCAGTGTCTAGGCCCCAAGTTCAATCCTATACCAACACAAAACACACACACACACACACACACACACACACACACACACACACACACACACACACACATCAGAGTATAATGCCTACCTAGGAAGGTCAGCATAAAATGTGGTCAAAGTGAAAAAGTGCCTGTCTTGGGCTATAGTACACAGAACATGCCCCAAATTAGACAGTCCTAGTTGTGATCAAGGTTCAGGGTAGGTCAAAGCCTGACTCTGCTGTGTCTACGGTGGCTCCCTGAATGCACAGCCCAGAGCTCACAGTCAGGCAGAAGTAAGTACTGCAGGGTCAATTCATGAGACATCACTTTCTGTACCCACCTCCAGCACCTATCCTACCATGACTATCATATTTTATCTATTCAGTCTTCATAACAAAATTTCATGAACTGGATAGCTTACAAGAAACAGAATCTTTTTTAATAAGTTTTTTTTGTGAAAATACCATACAGAGGGGTTACAGTTACATGAGCAATGTAATGAGTACATTTCTTATCAAGCATTGTTGCCTCCTTCTTTGTTTTTCCCCTACCATCCCTGCCCTCCCATCTCCACGACTACACTCCCCTCCCACCCCCACCCCCGCCAAAGTTGTATAAAGTTCATTTTTCAACATAGCATTTTGTACATCTCATTGTTGCAATGGGTCTACCTGTATCCCTATTTAAACAATTTGTTTTTTCCCCTTTCCTCCTCAAATTATACCAATAGCAAATACAGTGAAAACAAGGGTTATACCATGGGGGAGAGACATACAAAGCAACAAAACAATCACCTTATAAATATGTTAGAAACAATAGCAAGAAAGAAAAAAGCACTTGTGTCCTTATCTTGGGGTTCATTTCACCTAACATCACATTATCTGACCTTTTCTGCTTGTCTCATACATATACTAGTTATTACAAATAAGGGAAACCATGGGACCTATGTTTCTTTGGGCCTGGCTTACTTCACTTAATATAATTTTTTCCAAGTCTTTCCATTTCCTAACAAATGGGGCAATGTCATTCTTTCTGATGGAGGCATAGAATTCCATTGTGTATATATACCACATTTTCTTGATCCATTCATCTACTGAGGGGCATCTGGGTTAATTCCATATCTTAGCTATGGTAAATAATGCTGCAATAAACATAGTTGTGCTGGTAGCTTTAGTATGGTCTTGTTTGTGATCATTTGGGTAAATGCCCAAAAGTGGGATTGCTGGGTCATGGGAGAGCTCTATGTGGAGTATTTTGAGGAACCTCCATACTGCTTTCCAAAGTGGTTGAACAAGTTTACACTCCCACCAACAATGTAGTAAGGTTCCCTTCTGTCCACATCCCCTCCAGCATCTGTTGTTGTTAGAGTTTTGATTATAGCCATTCTAACTGGGGTGAGGTGTTTTGATTTGCATTTCTTTTATGGCTAGAGAGGTTGAGCATTTCTTCATGTGTCTATTGGCCATCCTTCTTTCCTCTTCAGAGAAGTTTCTCTGTAAGTCTTTTTTATTGCTGGGGGGGGTGGGGAAGGGGTCCGGTCATGGGGCCTGAACTCTGGGCCTGGGCGCTGTCCCTCAGCTCTTCAGCTAAGGCTAGCACTCTACCACTTGAGCCACAGCACCACTTCCGGCTTTTTTCTTTTTGCTTATGCGATGCTGAGGAATCGAACCCAGGGCCTCGTGCATGCCAGGCAAGCTCTCTACCACTGAGCCACCTTCCCAGCCCCTCTCTGTAAGTCTTTAGCCCACTTATTTATTGGGAAGTTGTTTCTTTGAGGACTTGCTTTTGGGGGGTTTAATTTTTTGAGTTCCAAGGAATATTTTTGATATGAGACCCTTGTCTGTTGTATGGCTAGTAAAGATCTTCTCCCAATCCATGGGCTTTCTATTGATCTTGCTAGCTATGTCCTTTGCCATGCAGAAGCTCTGCAACTTCATGAAATCCCATTTGTCCAACCTTTCTTTGATTTGTTGTGTTTCGGGTTCTCTATTAAGCAAATTTCGGCCTGTGCCAAGGAGCCCTAGGGTTTCTCCTATTCTGTCCTGTAATGAAGAAACAGAATCTTAATCTTCAGCATTCTGGAAGCAGGAAGTCTAAGCTTAGGATGCCAGAACAATTGGGATCCTGTCTTCTGAGTTATAGACTTCTGAATTCTTTGGAGGCCTTGCGTGTGTGTGTGTGTGTGTGTGTGTGTGTGTGTGTGTTGGTCCTGGAGCTTGACTACTGTCCCTGAGCTTTTGTGCTCAAAGCTAGTGCTCTATTATTTTGAGTCATAGTACCATTTCTAGAGTTTTGGTAGTTAATTGGAGATAAGAGTCTCATGGACTTTCTTGCCCAGGAGGGCTGTGAACCATGATCCACAGATCTTAGCCTCCTGAGCTGTTGCAGTTACAGGCATGAGCCACCAATACCCAGTTTGTAGTCCTTTTTTTTTGGGGGGGGGGGGGGGGTTCCGGTCGTGGGGCCTAACTCTGGGCCTGGGCACTGTCCCTCAGCTCTTCAGCTCAAGGCTAGTGCTCTACCACTTGAGCCACAGCACCACTTCCAGCTTTTTTCTTTTTGGTTATGTGGTGCTGAGGAATCGAACCCAGGGCCTCATGCATGCAAGGCAAGCGCTCTACCACTGAGCCACCTTCCCAGCCCTGTAGTCCTTTGTTACTAAGAGCACTAATCCTATGCATAATAAGGTCCACCTTTATGGCTTCATTCCCTCCCAAAGGCACCACCTCCTAATACCATTACCTTGAGGTAGGCTTTCAACTTGTGAATATATTGAAGAACCCAAACATTCAGTACAGGACAATCTTTTCTTTATATATATCATCTATTTCCCCTTTGGTGTGGGCAGTGGACATCCAGAACTCTCTCTTCAGACCTGGCTCTAGGAAGATCAGAGAATAGCTGTTGGCCCAGGCTTCCTGTATCCAAGAAGCAACATTCTTTGTGGCTCTTAAAGATTTGGATCTAGGCAGGTTTGTAGGATTTTTATTCTAGGCAAATATTTGACTTTTGTGTATGAAGTGCGCTCAGAGGGCTAGGGATATGAAGTCAAATGGCAGATGCAGGCCCTCTGTTGATAAAGCCTGGCAGGTAGGTGACATGGGTTGTGCTATGTCCAGGATTTGTCTATGTCTGGGCTTGCTACCTTCTCCCCTGGTCTGCCTACTCAGGCCAGTGTTATTATGGTTCAGATCTCTGCTTCCCCCACGCTCACCACATTCAGCATGAGGCCGTGTCACTAAGTCATTCTTGGATGTTGGTGTAAACTACATGATGAGGGAAAGCCTATCTTGTGGTCTTAATTTCCATCTCCTCTGTGGTTAATGTAAAAGATATTAGTTAATCAATGATTATATCTCAGGATAAACTCCTGAATGCTCACCTGTTGGTATCTCCACCCTTTCCTGTGTAGCTCCTGTCAAATTCCCACTTCCTGTCTCACTCCAGAAATCAGAGAAAGAAAGTAAGAGAGGGAAAGAAGAAGGGGCAGGGAGAGGGAAAGAAAGAGCTGTAAGTTGCGGCACTGGGAAACCCAAAAACAACCAAAAAGCTGTCTTTCTTCCCCAGGCCCAGACCAAAGTGTCTCTTGCCTCACTTTCCTAAAGACTCGGGCAGCCAAGTTGGACTCGGTAGCTGCTTCTCTTATGGCCAATGGGCCTGGAGGTAAGTCCAGACCACCCCATGGTAGAAGTTACCCCTCATTTCTCAGACAAGGCCATCCCAGGCCCAAGTGGGGTGACAAAGGTCGCAAAGCTCCAGTACACACCCCGCAGGTACCTCTTCTACTTGCCCATGAGCCAACTGGTTCTGAACTCAGTCTGCCCTCCAGGGAGGAACTCCCACAGGAAAATAGCCCAATCTCACTTCCTTCAAAGTAGTACTCCCTGCCACACTGCCTCTGCTGCCCGCCCGGGGCCTGGCTAAGTCCTAGGCCACCTGGAGTCCAAAACTGTTTAGGGACTTGCAGACATCATTTAATCTGCTGAAACAGACCCCAAATGTAACCTTTCAGGGGAAACTACCATAAGCAGCTATGAGCAGCTGACCAAAGACCCACAGAAAGAAGGGCAAAGAACCATGTAATAGAGAGATGTCTGACCTCAGGGATCAGCTCCAGAGCCTGCTCACTTTATGGAGAAGAGCTGAGGTCACAACTAACTAGCTAGGTGACATTGACCAAGTAACATGACTTCCAGGCTTCAAATATAACAAGTAGGCCTAAGTCTAGCTCTCAGGCTCTGAATCTTAACTAAAAGGGCCAGTTAAAAGTAGCCACTGGCTGGGTACTGTTGGCTCCCACCTGTAATCCTAGCTACTCAGGAGGTTGAGACCTAAGGATCACGATTTGAAGGCAGCCCAGGCAGGAAAGACCAGAAGATGTTTATCTTCAATTAACTAGCAAAAATGCTGGAAATAAGGTTTGGCCCTAAGAGTAGAATGTCAGCCTTGAATTAAGGGAAAAAAGCTAAGGAAGAATGGAGGCTCTGAGTTCATGCCCCACTACTAGGGGAGAAAAACACAAAGCAAAAATATCATCCACTGGGGGCTGGCAACAGGAAGAGGCTGAGGTGTGTGACCCCAGATATGATTATTGTGTAAAGAAGGCCAACTTGTCTGCCTTGTTATCCCACGCCCCAAAGCTGCAAGCCTGGTGACACCAGGTGATACCCCTTTCTTCCCACCTACCTCTCAGAGGCATGCCTGTCTTTTTGAGCAGGAGGGCAGATAACCTCCTCTGCCCCCAACCCCCAACATCAGGGTAAGAGTCCACATTTCTGATGTAAGGAGCTCCCAACAGGAAATGACACGTGTGGTGTCCCCATTTCCCAAAGGTCTGTTACCTGACCCCTCATACAAACCAGACACAAGAACTAGGACTAAGAGACAAAGCAGAATCCACAGTGAGTCTCTGACTTAGGCATGTTCCATGACTCATTCAAATAAATGTACATGTGCACACGTGCACGTGCACACACACACACACACACACCCTGAGCAGAATGTCATTCATTACCACACCAGGACACAAACATTTCCTCTCTAGCCCTGAATTACTATCCAAAGGAGAAGCCACTGAGTCAGTGCAACAAACCCCCACCCCCAAAACAATGGGCCCCCCTTTGTCAACATGCCCTGATGATTCTAACTGCTCAAAATAAACCAAACATAAAAGGAGAAGTGATGCTTAGCCCATGGCATGAGACTGCAGGGGCTTCTTAGTGGGAGTCATGAACCGTAGCCTGTGTGGGCTTAGGACCCCTGGGTAAAGTACAAACCCTGCTCCTCACTGCTTCTCTCCATCCTAGGTTCTGTCACCTTCTGGAAGCTATTTGGTGGCGCTGGCCTGGTGGCAGACTTCACTCCTGTAAGTTGAGCAGCCGATTGGATTAACTCTCCAGCTATGGGTTTGATTTTGTTGCTGTTATTGTTTTTTTTTCTTTTATTTATTTATTTTTGGCACTAGAGGATATAACCAGCGAGATTCTGCCAAGATCTAAGCTGCTTGCTTTATTTATCTTTCTGGCATTTCTAACTCACTGGATGGTTAATCCAGGAAATATACCTTACACAGAGAACCACATTGTACTCACGTGTGTGTGTGTGTGTGTGTGTGTGTGTGTGTGTGTGTGTGTCTCAGTCCATAGAGAAAACCCAGGTGAGCTGCATGGTGGTAACAGCAGGAGATGCCCTCACCTACCTGGCTGACCAGCAAGGCTTTGTGCACGTCTATGACATCAAGGACTATGGCCTGCAGGGACCAGAGCTGCAGCCTCCCAAAAGTAAGCCATGAACTTCTTCATGCTAATCACTATGATGATGTCGCTAGAGTATTCCACTTGGTAAAATAGAACTGTACTAGTATGGTGGGACTCTATGAAAACAGATGGACAGCAAAATATTTTAATGAAAACACTTGGTGTTGGCAAGAATGCAGGAGAATAGGCAGGCAGGTATTGTTTTCTTTTTTCTTTTTCTTTTTCTTTTTTGCCAGTCCTGGGGCTTGAACTCAGACCTGGACAAGAAGCTCAGGGGAGCTTCTTTTGCTCAAGGCTAGTGCTCTACCACTTGAGCCACAACACCACTTCCTTGTTTTTCTGTGTATGTGGTACTGAAGAATCAAACCCAGAACTTCATAAATGCTAGGCAAGCACTCTACCACTAAGCCACATTCCCAGCCCCAGGCAGGTATTCTTAAAGAGAGTGTGAATTTCTATATGCTTAACTGAAAGGCAAGTTGGCAATATGTTTCTAATGCTTTAAATGGCAATTCTACTACAAGGAAGAGATTGAACTGAAAGAAATAATAAATGTGAACAGAGATCTAGTTAGACAATTGTGCATCAGTACATCATTTATGAGAAGAAGAGAAATGTAGATCATCTGTAGCCCCAGTGCTAGGGCTAGAACTCAGGGCCTTGGTGCTGCTATCCCTGAGCTTCTTTTGCTCAAGTCTAGTGCTCTACCATTTGAGCCTCAGCATCACTTCTGGTTTTATCTGAGTAGTTTATTGGAGATAAGACTCTTACAGACTTTTCTGACTAGGCTGACTTTGAACTGTGGTCCTCAGATCTCAGCCTCCTGAGTAGCTAGGATTTACAGGTGTGAGCCTCCAATGCCCAGCTTGTTTGCAAGTTTAGAGCTTACAGTTCGTGACTGATTGGTCCTATTGGTTGAGGCCTTTGGCACCACATCATGATGGAAGCATGTGACAGAGCAAAGCCATTTACCTTGTATCTTGGAAGTGGGTATAGGAGAAAGAGAAAAAGACTTGGGTCCCACAATCCCTTCTGAGGTCATGCTCTCAATGGCCTAAAAATCTCCCACTAAATACTACATTAAAGTTTCATTTTCCATCGTGAAAAACTAAAGACCAAGTTATAAGTCGGGGGGAGATGAACATTCTAGATCTAAAGTATAGCAGGAAGTGACTATACACTACCATTAAAATTATTTCTCTTTATCTTTAGGTAGTTGTACAAAGGGGTTTCAGCTCAACATGTCAATTTATGAAAACTCTGCATCTTGATCAATGTCACCGCTTCCATCATCCTCCCCCATCCCTTCCAACCCATCCATCCCCCAAGTCACATCATTCCATTTTCACATATGTATATTTTAATATAATAACTGTATTTCTGACTTTCCTCTCCATCTTTCTCCTCGACTCTTCTCCACCAAAAAAAATATTTCAGCATCCAGGTATTCGTTTTGTCAAACTGTTCATTTTTTTATTTGTAAAAAATAAAACCCTATGCGTTAAGTAAAATCACAGTGTGCCACATATATCTTATATGGATCCCATATCAGATGCTATCATACCTGGGGTCTTTCACATATTAGGTACTCAGCAATCACTAATGAAATCAATGCAGCATGAACAAGACCTGCCACATCATACCTCTCTGCCTATTGGACATGCATTCAGATTTGACCCCATCCTGCATAACACTTAGCACCATCATGTGCCAATTCCCCCATTCTACTCAAATGTTCCCTCCCTCTCTCTTATCATTTAGATGTGAACTTCTGGAGGGCCCATGTCAACACAGTGACATCGTGAGTACCATCTTTATTAGAGTTCAAGAATTTGGAAGAGGGAAAGTGGTTTGATCCAGTCAGTCTTCTCAAAATCCCTTTAAACTGATCAAAAGAGGAAAGCTGAATTTCAGTTCTGCTATTTATGAAAACAAACCATGTATTGTTCACACAGAACTTAAGAAAGAAATTAGAAGACTTGATTTTTCTTGTAACTGGATAATTGTTTCCCTGAAATTGACCCTGGTATTATAAAATAAGTTTACAAATTTATCACGTTTGAGTTTTATTTTCATATTCTTCCTCTTCTACGCTTATTGGTCATCCACAAAGGAGTTTCCCAGACATCTCATTTGATATCCTGGGGCTGGAGTTGGGACAATGGATTAGAAATGAACAATACCCAGAATTCTGGAGATGAACCTGGTTTCTCTAATCCAACTCTGGTGAAAGCAGTACTGATCTATTGATCCAACCAACATCTCTTTCACATGACAGCAGCCATAAGCAGTCTCTTCTTCCCTTTATCTCTGTAGTTTGGAGCTGATCGAGGAAGAAAACATTTTACTATCATCCTCACTCGACCACACCGTGTGCCTGTGGAGCAGGGATGGGACATGCATAGGTAGGGAATGTCCACCTGACCTTCGGGATGAACATCTGGCCCTCTTGTCCACCCTCATTTGGGACCAAAGATATCACTCCACTGAGTCATGAATTATCTGAGGTGAAATGTGTCCAGCCACTCATATTACCATAACAAAACACCACAACTTGGGCAACTTAATAAGAAGAATTTATTTTGGGCTGGGAAGGTGGCTCAGTGGTAGAGTGCTTGCCTTGCATGCATGAGGCCCTGGGTTCGATTCCTCAGCACCACATAAGAAAAAAGCCAGAAGTGGCGCTGTGGCTCAAGTGGTAGAGTGCTAGCCTTGAGCTGAAGAGCTGAGGGACAGTGCCCAGGCCTAGAGTTCAGGCCCCACGACTGGACCCAAAAAAAAAAAAAAAGAATTTATTTTTCTCTTTGCTCTGAAGCCTTGAAGTCCCAAGATGGGGATCTCAGTCTGGCTAGGTTCTGGTGAGGGATCTCTTCTGTCCTTTCAGAGGGCTACCTTCTTGTGTCAGCACATGATGAGAAAGAGTATTCTCTGATACTCTTATAAGACACCAGTTCTATAGATTTAGAGTTTTGCCCTTATGATCTTATTTAACCCTACTTACTTCTCTAATGGCTTTGTTTCCAAATGATTTTTTTTGTTTCCAGTGATTACACTGGGAGTTAGAGTATCAGTATAGGAATTTTGGAATTACATAATTCAGTCCGTAGTCATGAAATAAGTGAGCTTCTTTTCCCCGAATTAGCAACACCAAAACATTTGAACTTAAAGAATTTGGTGAGCTTAAGGCACCCATTTCAGGAAGGAATTACCTTATTATGAGGGTCAGGTATTGGGTATGACTTGGGACCTTTCAGAACTGGGAGCAAGGGGCTTGGGGTTTAGCCCAGCGGAAGGGCGCCCGCTCGGCGCGCGCAAAGCCCTGGGTTCAGTCCTCAGCCCTGGGGGGAAAAAAAGAAGACAGAACTGGGAGCAACTGAGTTGTGGGTAAGAGCCTGGCATATATGGGTTGTGGTAATTATATGGTCTGGATGAAAAATGGCCAATAAAGACATGAGGAAATGTTTTAATATCCTTGGTCATGAAGGAAATGCAAATCAAAGCAACATAGATTCTCTCTCACCACAGTAAGGTTAGCCATCATCAAGAAAATGAACAGCAACAAATGTCCACAGAGATGTGGGACAAAAGGACCCCTATGACAAAACTGGTGGGAATTCAAACAGTTAGTGCAATTACTATGGAAGATAGTGTGGAGGTTCCTCAAAAAACTAAGCACAGAACTACCTACGATCCAGCAACACTACCCTGGAGCATTTATCCAAAAGATTACAAATCAAAACACTGGAAACACATTTGCACCCCACGTTCTTGCTGCACTATTCACAATAGCCAGGATATGGAAACAGCCTAGATTCCTGTAATGGATGAATGGATCAAGAATATGTGGAACAAATATACCAATGGAAGATTACTTACCTATCAGGAAGAATAATATTATGTCATTAGCAAGGAAATGTACAGACATGGACAAATTTTTGTTAAGTGAAGGAAGTCAGTCTCAGAGAGGAAAAGAGCACTGTTTTCTCTCATACGTGGGAGCTAGATCTAAATTATAAAGATATGTGATGACATATACAGGGTCATATTCATGCATACCCAAACAAATTAACTAAAGTGTGGTACAGGTCAGGAAAGAATCCAATAGTGTAATTCCATTAAACAACTAACTTACAGTTTAATAAAATGCATACCAGGAAGCTGAAACATATTTTGTCAGAGGGAGGAGGCTCAAACAGAGGGTGGACAGACAAATGGGCAAAGACAGACAAAATATTCCATGTGCCTATGGGAAAATAGAACCCGGTGACTTGAGAGGATGAGTGTGGTTGTTGAATGAGAGAGAACAATGGAAGGAGTGACTTGAATCAAGACGCATTGTACTTGTTAAATGACCTATTGAATTGGTACCCTTTTGTACAACTACTTAAATATAATAATTTTATTTTGTTTGAATCATAAAAAAATAAATCAAAATCACCTGGCCACTGCTTGGGGAGACTGTGAGCTTATTTCAACAGAGTAACTTATGTTTCCTGTAGCTTATTTCTTTTTTTTTTAATTTTATTTTATTTGTGAACATACTGTACAGAGGGGTTACAATTACATGGGCAAGATAATGCGTACATTTCTTACCATGTAGCTTATATTTCTTGAAGCTGGTCTGAAACTATTTTAAATTTATTCTGTAAGTTTGCAGTATATTTCTTGAGTATACACTCAATAATAACATACATTATTGAGTTCCCAGGATAGCACTGAGCCTATTTACCCACCTGGTAAATTTTGTAGGAGGAATTTTAGATTTCTATCTTCAAGGATAATTGTCCTGCAGTTATTCCTTAGGGAATTACAGAATCATGACAGTTTAATTCAAGTATCTTCTCTCCAGACCCAACTAGGCTAGCAGTATGATTTGTTTCTGTTAGAAGTCAAATTATCGCCTATCATATGCATTCATTTATCTCTATTCTTCCAGGTACCTTTGGGCAGAATAGCCCCTGGGATATTTTTACTCCTACCTCCTGGAGTCATCCAAGAAACCCTGATGAGATTCCGAAAGATTCCCAGAGCATGACTGCTCACCCCGTGCTGGAAGGAGATGCTCTTGCTGGGCACAGAGAAGGACAGGAGGAGCAGAACAACATGATGGAGGAGAAGGTCCCTGATAAGGTTAGTGCTGACACATCTGGGTCACCAGTGTTCTTTCAGGCAGATCAGCCATGGAGCATGGCTATAGGCAGAAAGAATCAAGGCAGGGCCCAGAGAGCCAAGTCAATAACAGGAAAAAAGTGTGTTCCCACCATTCTGAGCTCATGATCCTGACCAGGACCAGATGGGTCCTAGGACCAATCTGTGGGATATGGGAACCCATCTACAAAGGTTTTCCTCTGTTTTTGTGTGCTGGTACTTGAACTCAGGGCTTTGCACTCTTGCTCAGCTGGCACTTCCAACTGGTACTCTACCATTTTGAGCCATGCCTCCACTCTTGAATTTTGTTATTCAGAGTGAAGAGTCTTGGGGATTTTTGTCTGTCCAGGCTAGCTTCAAACTGAAATTCTCAGATCTTAGCTTCCTGAGTAGCTAGGATTACAGGCATGAGCCACTAACATCTGGTATCTACCTCCTTTTCACCAAGAGAAAGGCAGCTGTCCTCGGCCTTGGGACTGAGGTACACAGCATGATCAACCCAGGTGTGACCCCCGAGGAAGCCATGGATCCTGTACATTCAGTCCCCAGTGCATGTTCTGAGATGAATTTAAAAGCAGAGCCTCCTAATATCGAGAGGAGATGTGATTGGCTTAATGCCCAAGTCTATGAAAGTCAAAGTCAGAGGAAGAGGTTTGGAGAAGGTCGTGGTCAATGCAGTCTTGATTTAGAGCTCTGTGAAATATATAGATTTTCAAGAAATGCTTGCCCTTTAATAAATTGAAGAGAAGGTCATTCTGTGAGCTACGGCTCAGCAGCTATGTTACAGCTCAAAGCAGGACACCTGCTCAGCCAGCAAAATTGTGTATCTTCTGTTTTTGCCTTGGTGGTTTCATAGAATACTGGTCACACTATAAAACCTACTTACTCTCTCGAGCTTAGAGTCCAAACATGCTGAAAATAGGAAACAAAGGAACCAGAGAACACAGTACAGGAGATGCTTCTATCCTATTCAAAGCTCCTCCCACCTCTCCAATCTCTCCTTCCCAAGTTATCAAGAGGCTCTGCATTGGCATCCGTCAGGACACTCAGTGTCACCTGGCACCACCAGCTGACTTAGAAACATAGTACTTTCAGCATCCATTTAATATAGAGAAAACAAACAATTCAACAATTTTGATAGATTCGCCCTTTGGAAAACAAAAAGTCACGGAGAGACGGGAAGAAAGAAAGGAAGGAGAGATGGAGGGGGATGTGAGAATAGAGACATAGCCCTTGTTGGGCCTTATGTTTTAAGACATCGGACTTCAAAAGAAATCAAAGGCAAGGGGGGGGGGAGGCTGGGCATGGGTTAAGAGGAAAGAATGGAGAAGGAAGAGGGTTGGAGAAGAAAGATATTCAGGTCAACAAAATGAAGACCCTCTCATTTACTTCCTGCTTTCTTTCCAAAAGTGAGCAAAATCTTCACCACTTGACCTTGTGTAAGGAAACCACAAGGTGACCCTGTGCTTATGATTCTACCCATTTGGCTACAGGTACCTTGGAAAACACTTCAGATTCTTTCCAAGAAAAAAAAAATAACTTCAAAACCAAGAACCTGCATCTTTAATGTAGTGTATCTGGGCCATTGGATGGGAACCAAATTGTAAAATGTTTCATTGCTGTGTGTGAGTTACAGCTCCCAGAGTTCTACTCTGAAGTTCACCTTAATTATCCATGGGATCTCCACCAGCAATCACTTCTGCAAAGCTATAAAACAAAGAGAAATGGGATTTAGAGTGATCTCAAATTTTCTTTCCAGCCCTCCCAAATCGTATGATTCTCTGAACATCTATTCACAAAAATTGGATGCTGATTGGATTTTTGGATGCCAGGAGTGATTCTTCTAAGATGCCAGCAGATCAAACAACACCACAGCTAAAATAAGTTGCCTGGATGTAAAAAAAAAATTCATCTGGAAAATACCTCCTATAAGTTGGTAGTTGAAAAGATTGAGTAAAAGCACAAAGGAAAATGCTCTTGTCATCTAACTCAATTGGATCTTGGTCTAACACAAAAACCACATGTTTTCAATAGTGCAATTCTTGTGCTGTTACTAGTGTGATCATGGGTTTCTACTCTCGTATCTGTACCTCCTTCTTCCAGGTTGAAAAGATCTATAACCTTCCTCCTCCAGAAGATTCCAAGGTTGAGGATGAGGTGCAAGAATGTATGAACAAACAGTCTTCATTTTTCCATAGCAGGTCAGTTTGCAAAGGCAGCCAGAACTTGGCACTGGTGGCTCACGTCTGTAATTCTGACTACTCAGGAGGCTGAAGTCTAAGGATTGTGGTTCAAAGCCAGCCTGTGTAGAAAAGTTTGTGAGGCTCTTATCTCTAATCAATGAGCAAAAAGCCAGAAGTGGGGTGTTGCTCAAGTAGCAGAGCGGCAGCTTTGAGCAGAAAAAAACTAAGTGAGAGCTCAAGGTCCTGAGTTCAAGCCCCAGTATTGGCACAAAAAGAAAAGGAAAGGGAAGGAAATAGAAAAGAAAAAGAGCCAAGTCAAAGGGAGGGACTCTCCTGAAATTGCACAGCCTTATTGGCAGAGGCATCCCAGAGTGTCTAGTCATCTGCATTTGTCCCTAAGCTTGCACACCTTTGGAGTAAAACTGAGGTCACAACTCCAGTCTCACCAGTTACATGATTCAGGACACTCTAAGTTGGCCCCAATTTTGTCTGGCCATCACACATAGCCGAAGACCACTCCCAGTTCTGTACCTTGAGCTCTGTGACGGATGTAATTATCTTCAGCACACTTTGGGCAGGACAGCCTCACTACCTTTCCCACAGAGCCCTTGTGCAGCCCCTCTGCCATCCTAAGGGCCTAAAGTCAGAGACAGGCCCTGCGGCTCTCAAAGCTGTAAAAACTTGGGTTGCCTTCAAAGGCCTTGTGTGTGCTACAGGTCCCTGTGCACTGGAAGATGGATGGCAGGTTATACAGAGAAGCAGAGCAAATGAACGCCTCTTCCCCCAGTCCCTCAGACTCTATACTGGCTTTTCTGGATTGCAGTCAACAAAGATGCCAAAGAAATAGTCCCTTCAGTGTCACTTGTTGCTCCTCTTATCACTAGATTTGGATCCTGGACACAGGTCACATGAGTGATGGCATGTCCCCTCTCCTGGCACCTTAGTGCAGTGGCTCCATGATGTCAAGGGCCCAGGCTGCTTTTCCAATTGTGCCCATCTACTACCTTAACTCTTCCTTCCATCTTCATGGTCACCTACCAGTACAGGCAGTTACAGGGGCCTACTAACCTCTACCTATGCTCTAGGATGTGCCAAACAGGGCCTAAAGTATAAGGTCCAGGATAAAAGAGTGCATCTTCCAGCCAGGTCAGCACTTAGTGGAATGTTCCAGTAGCTTTTGCTCATTTCTCTTTACATCTGGTTGGCCAGCACATAGTCAGAGGGCCATGCCTCTAAACTTTGGTTGGGGAGGATGGTTGATTTGTTATAAAAATGACATGAACTTGGATTCTAGTCACAGATTTGTCATCCAAAACAATGTGAGTTGCTGGAGGCATGATTTAGTGGTAAGAGCACCTACCTAGCAAGCATAAGGCCTCAAGTTCAAATCCCAGTAGCATCATAATTAATAAGTAGGAAGAAAAAAAAAGAGATGAAAGAGAGAAGGAAAGAAAAATGAGAATGCAGGAAGGAAGGAGGGAGGGAGGGAAGGAAGGAAGGAAGGAAGGAAGGAAGGAAGGAAAGAAGGAAGGAAGGAAAAACCAATGTGACCTCAAGACAGTCATTTAAACTTCCTGTGTATTTGGAAATCTTCCAGGTGGGTGTGGAAGTTGGATGGCAAATGTACTGGCATTCTTCAGATGGAAACTGGGAAAGGGAGAGCATTCCTTCCAAGGCCACAGATAGTAGGTTGCTGCTGTTAGCAGCTCCAGCAACAGCAGAATGAGCAACATCTTGAAGCATCTTCACAGGCCCAGTTTAGGTTTGAATTGCTTGTCTTCCCAGTGGTTTTACACCACTGTAGGGTATAAGGGAGAAAAAAGGCTTCCAAATAACCAAAATAACAAAGCAGCTGGAAGTTAAAAAAAAAATGAGATGCTGCATAACTGTCTTGGATCCACTCTTGGTACAGATAGCATAGAATGGTGCAAAGAAAAGCAGCTCTGAGCTCAGAACTGGTTCCATTCTCTGTGACTGTAGCAAGCCTAAATGAGGAAACAAGAGAAAGAGACAAGCCTGGAAGAAAGGTAGCAGTGGATTTGCCTGGAAGAATCCTACCAGGGGCAGCACAGAGGCTAACATCAAACTTTGTCAGTACCTGAGGTTCTTGGGCTAATTTTTAAATGTGCATCTTTTGCCAGGCACTGGTGGTTCACACCTATAATCCTCACTACTCAGGAGGCTAAGATCTAAGGATCATGGTTCAACATCAGTCCAGGCAGAAAAGTCAGACTTTTATCTCCAGCTAACCAGTAAAAAAGCCAGAAGTTGAACTGTGATCTAGTGGTATAATGCCACCCTAGAGTGAAAAAGCTAAGCAAAAGTGCAAGGCCCTGAGTTCAAGCCCTAGTATCAGCACATAAACAAATAAATATAACAAATAATAAATAAATGACAAGAACCATTTAAAAGACTATGCACATTCTATCTTGTTTCAATTTGCAACATGAAGATGTACATTTTTTCATTTGCCAGACTTCAGATGTTGACTATGGTTTTCTATAATGCATTATATATTATATATGATTATATATGTTTTTTCTATCTCTGCTTTTAAAGCATAGAGCAAGATCTTAGCTAGATTTCCAAAGAAATAAGAGAGCCTTTATCTTTTCAGATTATTTTTATATTTTTTCCTGCGCTTCAACAGTTATTTTATTTATCTTCGGTGCATATTACCTTCTAGCTAGTCTTTTCAAAGACTCTGTCTCTTAGCTTTTCCAGAGATTTTTCTTCACTATGTTCACATTCATGTCAGCCATTCTCATTTTGTTTGGATAAGTGTATAATCACAATAAAATGTAAAAATATCAGAAGCAGGTTGGAAAACAAATGCAGTTCATTCTGGCTGAGCATGTGACTCGAGCCCAGTCACTGCCAGGGTAGATATGCACAGGATACTGTAGCCACCTACAGGCATGGGCATCCTGAGGGCTGTGGGCATTTGCATGGTACGGATGGGGCATCAGTCAACCCACGGACTCTATTAGAACACCTAACACAATGATCCTTTGAACAACAGAGATTTTCCCTAGAAATCAAACCAAGCATTTTCTGGGCTGCTAGGCTTCAGGGCCCAGGATGAGGGGGAAAAAAAAGAGGAGGAGGATACCTGGAAGGTAATAAGGCAGGTGTAGAGTCCCCATTGCTGTTTCTGCTACTAATTAACCAGCAAAAAGTTGAAAGTAGAGCTATGGCTCAACTGGTAGAGCACCAGCCTTGAGTAAAAAAAGAGCTAAGGAAAAGCATAAGACCCTGAGTTCACGTTCCAATATTGGCACACACACACACACACACACACACACACACACACACACACACCTGACGTAGTCAATCTATATAATGTGTATTTTACCACAATTAAAAATAAAGGATAGAACATGAAAGATCAAAGCAAGAGAGAGAAAGAGGATGTTCTGGGAACTTTTAGTAGTTTGATATGGTTGAAAGAGTTGGGGGCAATGGGGAACCCCAGCAATCAAAACAAAACTACCACAGAATTTGCAGGGTGAAAGTAGACAACTTTGCAAGGTGTCAGAAATCATCAGGAGGAGGAAAGAGTCCATGACAAAGGATCAAAGGGATGGGATCAATATGGCTTTTACCATAAAAAACATTCAGATGCTGGGTGTGGGATTTCAGCTAAGCCAAGAAAGCAGTACAGGACCTTTAGGTGATGGATAATCTACATACTTAGTTGGCTTTTTTCCACCAGGCTACAGCCAGCACTAAACAGGCCTTGCAATAGAGTGCCAGAGCCCAGGTGGCCCAGCATTTACCAGAGACTCCGGTGCCATGAGATTGCCTGCGTGTCTGTCCTTGGGAAGAAGCCAGATTTGTCTATTATTGGCTCGGATTTGTTCGATGTGAATTTCCGCCCGCAGGAAGAAGTGGAGCTGCCCAGAAGGAGCACTGATCCTCTGTCTGAGTGCTAAAAGGGTCTCGGCTGCTATTTTCTTTTCTTGGCAAATTATTCTTCCACATGCAATCAAAAGGCCTGACTGAGATTAAGCTTTGCCCAGGAGGAGCAAAGAAGAACAAAACAAGAAATGACTGCAGCCAACATGATTCTCTTCCCAAAGCAATTACAGCTTGAATTTAAGAGAACAAATCAGATTTGAGGTGTTTTCTTTTTTCTTTCCTGGAAGCTGTTATTTCTTTGTATGGAAGCCTAGACTGGTGGCTACAGCCAGTGGCCCTGCGCTTCCCCATACATCAAACACTACTGGTGGCATTTGGCTCTAGGTGGGCTGAGGACAGTTAGACTGTTGGTAAAAACAGCTGCAGTTTGGCAAGCTTTTTTTCTATTAGGTAGATCTTATTTAAGAGATTAAATGTATTCTCTCATTTATCCCTAGTCACATTCTATGCATAGGTTCTGTTATTAGCCCATCTGACCCATGAGAAAACTATGGCTCCAAAATGTTAAGGGATAGTCAGACCAAGTGGCTCACACCTGCAACCCTAGCTACTCAGGAGGCTGAGATCTGAGAATAATGGTTTAAAACCAGCTCAAGCAGGAAAGTCTGTGAGACTCTTATCTTCAATTCGCCAGAGAAGAACCAAAGACTGAGATCTAGGAATAGTGGTTCAAAGCCCGCACAGCAGGAAAGTTTCTGAGACTTATTTCCAATTAACCAGGAAAAAAGCTGGAAGTGGAGGTGTGATTCACGTGGTAGAACATCAGCCTTAAGCAGTAAAAGCCATCTGGCAGTGTGAGTCCCAGAGCTTAAGCTCCAGAATTCACATACACACACACACACACACACACAATTAATTTGTTGATAGTTATCAAATGACACAGAAGGATCCAGAGTTAGGGTTTGTCCTGGTTTGTTTTGGTTTTCCCAGTCCTGGGGGTCAAATCTAGAACCTGTGCATGGTTGGCAAGTTCACTACCAAACTACAACCCAGCCCTCATGGTCTTAATTATCGACATGACTGAGAATAAAATTTGAGGGGCACTAGACCTCTCCTTTCCAGGGATCATCCTAAAGCAGTCATCATCAGGCTATAAGCAAATGACCTCAGAGATTGCAACACTAGTAGGAAAAGAATTATAGTACAGCTATCCAGCTGTCAAGTACTGGGCACCGCCTGTGCTCTGAGCATCCTGGGAAAATCACCTCACAACATCACTATATCTGGAGGAAAGACAACCTGTCTCATAGATTGGGAAAATTAATTCTCAGATTGGGAAAATTAATTACACAGACAAAAAATTCAAAATTCAAACTTACTGTGACCAAATATCTACCTTTAACTCAAAGGCTTTTGTTTTGTTGCAAATACAGAGCTTGAGGTTGGCGAGTCAAGATTGCATAGGTAGGAAGTCTCTTGGCCCTTCTTCTTTAGAACTTTTCCTTTTCATTTTTTGCCAGTACTATGAGGTGAACTCGGAGCTTGTACTCTTGCTTGGCTTTTTGCTCAAGTTTGGTGCTTTCACTTCACTTCCCAATGCCTATGACCTAGTCTCTGGTTAACACATGGCTAGTACCAACCTTACACCTGGGCCAGAGGACTCTTCTCTGGCTCTAAACAAAGAGGTCTTCAGGATCCAGTAGACCTACTCAAGCAGACCTGTCTAGATTACAGTCCAGGCCTGAGATCTGAAAATTGCATGTACATATGGCCCCAAGGCCATTTCCAGAGCGCTTGTACTCTCCTCCAAGACTCATCTATCCAAGGAAGGTCCCCACAGTCCCAGAATCAGGGACATGGCTAAGGGGTGAGTGTTTGCTAAAGGTTGACAGACATTTGGACACTCTGGCAGAGGCCAGGCAAAAACAATGAGGCCCCTTGGTGCCAGAGGAAGCTGGGGGTTCCTGAAAGAAAACAAGATGGGTGCTACAAGCCAGAGAAGGCTCTCCCTGAATTGCTTCATATGCCAGAGAGCTTTAAGGACTCCAAGAACCTGACATCCAAACCAGCCTTCTGGAGCCTTCTGGAGTTTTCTGGCACATCCAGGGTAAAAGGATAGAACATTCTGCATCTGTTCAATATGAACAATTTATAAGCTTCATATTTAACTTTTAAATCCTCAGTCTCTATTTAAAGTAGGCTTTACTCTGGACCTAAAGAAAAATCTTAGCAATGAGCCTGCTTCCACTTCTCTTTTAGTGCTTAGATTTTTCTGGTTTCCCACACTCCTGTTCTTTCTGGAGAGAGCACCCTTGCAAAGAATTCTGGCTTATTAGTGGGCATGTATGAAGTGCCCACACCTTCACTGTTACCTCCAGCATGAATGACTCTGAATGTATGTCTGGATTTCCAGCAACCAACCTGCTTCCATGAGTCTTGGTTCAATAGCTCACTCATTTCCCAGGTCTTGTCTGACCAGATGGAAACAATTTGGGAATCCAGCCCTTGCCCCCTCCAGGTGGATGCCTCTGGAGAATGTTCGTATCAGTGAGAACTCATGGTGATCTGTGAGAAAATCCAAGCTAGGCAAACCTAGGCAAAGGGAGAAATTTATTGGCTCATCGAACCATGGGGCTCTTGTCCCATGTTTCCTCCCTTCCCCTCCCCTCTTTTCTCTCTGTTTTTCACTCCCTCTCTCCTCTGTGTCCTCTGTCTCCAGAGTTCTTTCCACAATGCAGAAAACATGGCCAGATAATCATGGCAGCTTTTACTACTCAGAGACTGACTTGGTTCCCCTAGGTTCTAAGTTCCAAATCCCAGCTGAAAAGGCTTGATAGTGGATCACCAGTCAGTACTTAACTTGGCCCAGCCAACTGAAAGCTGGCTCCTTGAAACATGACTACTCTCAAAAAACCATGGGAATGAAGAGACTCTGATGTACCACAGAGAAGAAGAGGATTGTGGGTACACAGACAACCCTTTACATGCCTCCTGAGGTAGGCAGTTGATTTTCTTTACCACAGACTTGCAACCTTCTGTCCCTCCTTCCCCTCTCCATTTCTTCCTTCCTGAGTTTGAATCCTAGATGTTCTTCCTGCTGCTTGCAAGTTCCATAGGCATAGAGATGATCTGGTCCAAAGGAGGATTTTGTTGAGTCTTCAAACTTCCTAAATAATTCAACCGAAATGTCCCTACTTGCTTTATAACATCTAAACAATTCCATTCCTTCTATTTAGTGAAGTATGCATTTATTTATTTATTTATTTATTTATTTGGGGTGTGTGTGTGTGTGTGTGTGTGTGTGTGTGTGTGTGTGTGTGTGTGTGTGTGTGTGTGTGTGTGTGTTGGGCCTGAGGCTTGAATTTGGGGCCCTGGCACTATCCCTTAGCTTTTTTGCTCAAGGCTGACATTCTGCCACTTTAGACACAGCTCCAGCTCCACTTCTGGCTTTTTTGGTGGTGAATTGGACATAAGAATCTCACAGACTTTCTGGTCTAGGCTTACAAAGATCCTCAGATCTCTGCCTCCTGAGTAGCTACAATTACGGGCATGAGCCAGTAGTGCCCAGCTAAACTTATTTTTAATCCTTGATTTTGGACAACTGCATTTTAAGTCTCATCTACAGGTCATAGGCTGCCTACCAGGGCTATTTTTGTTGGAGAGATGAGGATGGACACTACTGTGCTCAGAGTACTGCTGCCTCCATTAACAAGTCCCATAAGGGACTAAGGCCATTAGAGGAAGCCAGTGGTGCTCAGAATAAAGCCCATCTCTATAAACCACAGCAAGCGGCATTCTAGAAACTTCATATATAACTTCCAACAGATCAACAGAAGAAAATGGGGCCCAGTAGTGAAATGTATAACTTTATCCTCTTCCAGGTTCTCTCCCCTCCCTCCTTCCGTAGCCTCTGCCAGCCAGTATCTCACTTGCCATCAAACAGGAGCAGAAGCTAGGCACCCTGTCCCTCATGGTTGTAATCCGCAGGAGGCTGACATCTGAGTTTCAAGATTTCAAAGCCAGTCCATGTGCAAAAGTCCATGAGATTCTCACATCTAACGAACCAGCAAAATCTCCAAAGTGGAGTTATGGCTCAAGTGATAGAGCACCAGCAGAAACAAAGTCCAATCGCTACCCACCCTCAATTCCTGCCATCGAAGTGGGAACTTTCTGAGGTAGGAATGGGGCTCCCTGGTGAAATAAATTTGGGAAATGCTGCATTCACGATATCTCACTACAGCTGGGCGCCGGTGGCTCACACCTGTAATCCTAGTTACTCAGGAGGCTGAGATCTGAGGATCATGATTCAATGACAGCCTGGGCAGGAAAAGTCCATGAGACCCTTACTCCAATAAACCACTCAGAAAACTGGAAGTGGTGCTGTGGCTCAAGTGGTAGAGCGCTCACCTTGAGGGACAGAGCCCAGGCCCAGAGTTCAAGCCCCACGACTGACAAAAAAATTTTTAAAAAGATACCTCACTACAATGGTTTACTTCCAACTGGATCACTTTATATCTTCTAGTGCCTGGGAAATCATCAAGAAAAGAACTGTTTCCCCACACTCACTTGGCCAGGGAACCCCTTCTCCAAGGCACATCTCCTGGGATATGATCCAAGGAATATACTTTGGGAGACGTTATGTGAATTGCAGCCCATTCGCGCTCAGCCTCTCTCACAATGTCTTTTCTAACTAATTGCCACCTTCTTTTGCTTTTCAGTTGTTCATGAGCGTATGTGCCTCTTCTTCCAATTCACCTTCCCAAATAAATATCAGTGCTTAAAATATTCAGATGAGGAAACTAGAACTCAGAGCAAAGCATCTTCTTGTCCCAGGTCTCTGGGACAGCCCAGAAACTAGCGGGGCCCATCTGAAGACTTCTGGTGAGCACACAAGGAAATTGAGGCTCAGAGAAGCAAGATGACAGTAGAGCCAGAGGGATGTGAGCTGTGGTAGGACAGGACTGGCTGGGATTCCTGGAATTTGCAGGAATCCAAGGAGCATCTGAATCTGCCCTGCAGATAATCTCTTTCCTTAGAAGACTCCAGAGTCAGACCAGATTGAACCAAGCTACCA